ACAAACTTTTGCTACTGCTGCTTCTGCCACTGTCACTGCCACTGCCACTGCCACTGCCACCGCCACTACTGGACAGTAGTCTTCTTGGGACGAGATCCAAAGATAGTGCTGCCTATGCGAACATTAGTCGATCCTTGTAAAAGAGCTCTTTCAAAGTCATCACTCATACCCTATTGAAATTAAAGTTGATTATTATTATTTTCTTTTTTCTTTTTTTTTTTTTTTTCTTTTAACCCTGTCATTGTATCCATTGGATCATGATGACAGTGATAATGGCAATGATAATGAGCCAGGTCCCAGGAATGAAGGAGGGGGAGGCAATCGGAGATAACGGAGGGGAGAAGGGAGAAGGGAGAGGGCGTGTGCGCGTTTTATAACACAGGGTTTATAGCGTAAAAATAAAAAAAAAATATTATATATAAATATTTTACCATGCTCAATTCCAGGTCCGTGATCTTGAGTGCCTCTTCAATTGTCGCCTTGCATTGATTTAGTGTCTATAAAAAAATAAAAAATAAAAAAAAAAAAAAAAGATATACCTGTTTAGCAAAAATGGAAAAAGGGCACAAGCAAAGGCAAAGCTTATGCGACTCCACTCTTTCTTTATCCATTATTATTATTATTTTTTTATTTTTTATTTTTTATTTTTTTTATCATCTCCCCCAAGTTCCAGATTGGTAGAAGATGAAGAGGAGAAGGAGAAAGAAGTAGGATAAAAAGGAGAGGAGTAGGATAAGAAGGAGAAGGGAGAAAGGAGAAAGAGGAAACGGAGGAGAAGGGGAAGCTGGGACCTCACCTTGAAATCTGGATTTTCACCGTTATCCAAGTCAGGATTTGGTGATCCAATTGTCATTAGACCGGACAGCTTAAGGTGAGGGCAGGATGAAACAACATGCTGTGCCACCTCTAGGGCCTCATTTGGAAGCATTCCACTCTTGGCTGGAAAGAAAAAAAAAATGGTTGAGGATCATCGGGGATCATTGGGATAAAACCATTAGTTAAGAATATTGGAATAAATAATGAGCATAAATGATAAATAAAACAAAAAAAAAAAAAAAAAAAAAAACTTACTATCCTCACCACTCGTGTTGATTTGTAAAAAGATACGAAGTGGTTCAGATCGAGCAGCACTCACGCAGGCCTTATCCAGAGTCGAAGCCTTCTTTGCGCTGTCCACAGTCTCCACAACGAACAGATTAGGGATTGCTTTAATAAACGTATTAGGCATAAATATAGTTAATGTCGTATCCACTTTTTTTTTTTTTTTTTTTAAACTTTCTTTTTTTTTCTTTTTCTTCTTCTTACCCGCAACAATCTTGCACTTGTTAGACTGAAGTGATCCGATGAAATGCCATTGAATGTCTTTGGGTAACTATTTTATATATTTTGGTTAACAAAATAAAAATAAAAACCGGTTATTAAATTTCTATGTACTTTACCCATGTACTTTATTTACTTTCAATTGACAATTGACAATTGACAACTGACAATTGATAATTGACACATTGCTCGCGTGACCAAAATAGACCGCAGCACAGCACAGCAAAACAATCTTTTTTTTTTTTTTTTTACCTCCTTGCTCTTTTCTTCTAGTTCCTGAACCTGTGGACCAATTTTTTTTTTTTTTTTTTTTTTTTTTTTTTTGGTTTTTCAGTTTTTTTTTTAACGCGTTGTTAGAAATATATAATCAAATCTTGTAATATTATTATGTAGAGATACCCTTTTCTTCCAAAGGAAAAAAAAAAAAAAAAAAAAAAAAAAAAGAAAAAAAGAAAAGCACTTACATAATTCTCACCAAAGTGGCAATGTCCAGATTTCTCATAAACAGCCAATATATCGGATGCAGGCTTGTACTTGCTGACTGCCACTAGTCGTGCCTTTTATATTTATATTTGTATTTATATGTATATGTATATATTTAATAGCAACAAAAAGAGTCAATTGAAAAGAACTCCTTTTTATTTGAAAGAGTCGTAAGAAAAAGGAAAAAAAAAACCCCCCCCATTATTATTTACCTTCTGTGCATTATCTCCTTTGCTCTGTAAAGTCTGTTCCATCCTTTTGACAACATCTGACAGGTTATCTACCAATTCCTGAGCACGGTCAGGGGTATATTCAAGGCTGGTACTCATGCTTGGTAATAATCTTTTGGCTGTAGCAGCAGTCCTTAGGGTAATAGTTGTAGTTGCAATAGAACGAGCAGAAAAAGCTAATGTCCGATGATAATGATGAACGGTATTGAATCGAGACAAATTAAAGAATTGAGCCTGTGAATGAACTGTCCGAATGAGGAATGGATAAAGATGAAGTGACATTCGAGGGGAAGGAGGGAGTGTGTGTGTGGAATCAAGTTTTCATCAAGATGGAGGGAGAGTTGTGTGTATGTTTATGTGATGTGTGTGATGTGTGTTATGTGCTCTACATAGTTTCTTGGTAAGAAACAGTCACCCTGGTTCAAAAGATACGCGTTGCGCGTTTGATCATCTCGTTGTGAAACAACCGACGCGTGAACGTGAACGTGAACGTGAACGCGTCGCGCTGATTCTTTTTTCTCTTTTTATCTTTTGACACGGCCGGCGCAAGGGCGCACAATTTAAATTTTTTTTTTTTTTTTTTTTTTTTTTTTGGGGGGGCGGGGAGGAGGAAGAGGGGGTGGAGGTGGGGGGGATAGAGGAAGTGTAGTAGGATCTCGCTTGCTATATGCAATGCAAAGGGTTAATTAATAATGTGACACTACATGACACATTGATAAAAAGAAAAAAAAAAGAAAAAAAAAAAAAAAAAAAAAAGATCTAGGACTTTCCTACGAAAACTATGAAGCGGGACTCCAATTTTTTTTTTTTTTATTTATTTATTTATTCATGAAACTGGTTGTTGACAAAAAAAAAAAAAAAAAAAAAAAAAAAGATGTCGGCGCAATCAAATTGAAGAACGGAAATAAAAAAAAAAAAAAAACATCCTTTGGTGACCCGACTCATTCTTCTATAGCTACACAGATACTCTCAGAAAAAAAAAAAAAAAAAAAAAAAAAAAAGACAATAAACAAGATCTACAGCTATCGTTATTGAAGAGAAAAAAAGGAGAATAAAAAAAAAAAAAAAATTCCCACACAACAGGATGGCGTTGGTGGCCAATGGGCCATTGCTCGTATACATTAGATGTTGTACATTCTGTTCCACTTTGTTGCCGTTAACTGACAAGTTGCACACATATTTCCCTTAAGAGGCTAATTGATCCATCTGATCAGCGTAAAAGGAGACATTTCCCTAAACATGTAACATGTACATGTACAATGTACAATGTACACTAGGCTGACGTGACTTTTTTGGAGGGCTTTTTTTTTTTTTTTTTTTTTTTTTTTTAGACATGAAGAAAAAATAATAATAATAATAATAATAATAATATATATATAATAAAAGAAAAAAAATGAGGCTATGCAACGAGGCGAACACCAAAAAGCGTTTTTGGACCCTGTCACTTGGAGATACACTGCATTTTTGGTACACCATACTGAACATCTACATCTACATTTATATATACATGCATTTATTGACCCTATCTTGATAAACGGAGTTTTTCCATATTGCTTTCTTTCCTAATGCTCAGAAAAAGCCATCTTGGGGAAGAAAGGCTAAAAAAGGAGGGCGAACAGCATCTCTATGCACAAAAATCTATAATAAATATTATACATGTAATATATAATTGCATGATCATATGTGTCTACTCTTGAGCTGGCGGTTGTTAAATATTGCACCCCCCCCCCCCACCACCACCACCAACCACCACCATCACCATCACCTCCCTGTCCGTTCAATAATAAAGATATACATGTACATGTAGACACGGATGCATCCCAAAAATAATAAGGTGCATATTGATTATATTATTAATGTATTAAACATACTATGTGTATCTTACTTTATTCCTTTGGATCTTTTACCCCTCAGCATTTCCCTACTCCTCCTCTCTTTCCCCGGCTTGCCATGTATGAAAAATAAAAGGAAATGAAAATCGATCAGAAACAAAAGGCGCCCAGAAAAACTCTAAATTACTTAAAGACATTGTGGTTTTTTGAAACCCACATTAGGTAACAGTTCATTGCACACGCAGTGGGTCAAGGTGGGACAGACAGAGGAGGGGGAGCAGTTCAGGTACAGTAGAACAAGGTGGGGAGGGAAAAAGAAAGGGAAGGGGAGGAGAGACGGGATAGGATGATAGGATTTTGTAAAGACGCACATACCCTAGACTATAAACACTCTCCTCTCCTTCTCTTCCTCTTCCTCTTCCTCTTCTCCTCTTCGAGCCGGATAAGATTAATAGTTGGTGACCAGAGACGGGAACCTTAAATGCATATTGCGTGTTTGTCTTTCGGTGAAAGTATGACAAAAAAAAAAAAAAAGGGTATTATGACGAAAGTGGTAAACAAATGAATGAAGAAAGCGGATAGGGAACTCATGGGCAATGATGTCTTTGAGAAAATAACAAGCTCTTGATAGGATAGACAGGTTACTTTATCTGAATGACGAAGTACTTTTTCCGAGGACTTTTATTTATTTATTTATTTTTTTTTATCAATTGAGCCTCTAAGCCAAATAGAGACTTAATAATATACCGGTTAATATGTATATATTAATTTTATCAAGGAATGGAGATGTCCCTTTTTAAATTTTTCTTCAACCTTGTACCTGCATTGGGAGAAGGCCGATTGCCTGTAGTCGAGAAAAAAAGAGAAAGAGAGAGAGAGAGAGAGAGAGAGAGAGAAAAGACACAGCATCTCTGAAACAAAGAAAATGTTTCCAATAGTCCAATAGGAGTGATATGACTTTACATTTTTTTCTTTTTTCTTCTTCAAATCAATTCGCCTTATGGCCGTGCAAGTAAGCCAAGTTGGATGCATGCTTTATTTATTAATATCTCAATTTGTCATCGACCCTGAACCAAGAAAGTTGAACTCGCCATATTTCGGTGGACGAAATGTCAAGGACCAGATCTTTTTTTTTTATTTTATTTTATTTTTTTAAACTATTATTGCTAGTCCTCCGTGGCTTGGATACCGCGACGATGGACCACTGTTCAATAGAAAGGAAAGTGGAAGAGGGGAGAAGTGCATTGACCTTTACTCGAGGCCATGGTTCGGGCAATAAGGACTAGACTTAGCATTGTCAAAGATACATCTCATATAATAACTATTCACTTGGTCAGGGTTAAAAAAAAAAAAGAGTTTACGCCTTTCTTTTTTAATTTTGTTTTTAACCATGGATAGAGTGTTCTGCATTCTTATCATTCACGTTGTGGTTCTAAGGGCTTGCATAGAAAAAATAGTGAATGCGCCTCTCCGTAAAGCCTTGGCCTTTGTTTACATCGACATTGAAGCACAAGGCCGTCCCAGATAGCATGTGCTATTAAAAATATTTTTCATCTCCGTGCGCACTTTTGAACGACAGTTGCCATTGTTGGGCATGGGTCACCGCCTCCCCTATTACAAATTACTGACCATTCTTCCTTCCTTTCTTCTTTCGTTTCCTTCCTTCCTTCTTTCTTTCTTCGCTCTTCATTCTTCATTCTTCATTTTCTATCATCTCTTTGTTTTTATTCAAATGCTAATTCATATACTGCGCTTTTTCACAGTTTGCTCTTTATAAATTCATTGCTCTTTTCCTCTTCACATCCTGACCCTGACCCGACCCTTCCTTCGATTTCATTTTGCAGAAAGCACCCAACATCCGTGGATCGTCATACCTTCATTTCAGCTCTTGATTTCCCTTTTTTCCCTTTTTTTCTCTCTCTCTCTCTCTTTTTTTTTTTTTTTTTTTTTTTTTTTTTTTTTTACTTCCCCAATTATCTCTCATCTGACATTTTCATTCTCCTTCTACCCCTTCCTCCTCTTTCTCAATATTCATTTTTTTTATTCTTTTACTTTTTCTTTTTTTTTTTTGTTCGCTGTCCCTATTGTAGCCCATCTTATAAAAACATATCCACATTAAGCGCGGACCACCTTTGGTTGTGCACCGCCCTTACTAATTCCCTCAGGTGTGTTACTTTGTGTTACCCACCAATTTAGGAACCCAGTTTCTTTCTAAAACACGATCTCTCGCTCTCGCATCGTGATTATGGTTAACGCTTCAACTCTTGTTCCCTTTTTCGCATTTTCCGATCTTTTCTCAACACATTCAATAGCCAGTGCTTCATCTCTATTTCCTCTCATTTGTATATGTGTACATATATATAAAGATTTATTTATCTTTTTTATCTTTTTCTTTTTTTATATATCTGATTTTTCTTTTTACTCTTTTTTCTCATCCTTATTCTCTTTCTCATCCTCTCTTAAGCAATCAGTCAGAGTGTATGTATATTTTCTTCTCCACCCTTTCCCTCTTTACCTTCACCTCCACTTATACTTTCACTTCCATCTCCTTCGACCTTGTCCATCACAACTTCACTCTTCCTTTTTTTTATTTTTTTTATTATTATTATTATTTTTTTTTTATTTCTTTATTTCTTTATTTCTATAAATTATATATATAATAAATGGCGAGTGAGACTCCGAATTTGCATGTCCTCATTGTAGGAGGAGGCATTGGAGGCCTTATGCTCGGCATCATGTTGGAACGAGCAGGGATCGACTATCAAATCCTGGAAAGATCACCCGAGCATCGACCGTTAGGTAGCGCCATCTCCTTGAACGGCACAGTCTTACGCCTATTCGAGCAATTAGGGTAAGTCCCTCTTTCTCCTCCCTTTTTTTTTTTTTTTTTTTTGTTCAAATCATCGTTTACATTCGTTTACATAATCCATTAAGAAAAAAAAAAAAAAACGGCCAAATGTCCATGGAGTCTTTTCCCACCCTTTCTCTCTCTTCAACCTTCAGCCTCTTCTTTTTCCATATCTCATGGATCAATCTCTACATTTGGAAGGGAGAAAAGGAAGAAGAGGAAGAACCTGGGCATGTTTCAGCTAACACAGCAAATTTCATACATGCTCCCCCATCCCATGCTCAATGGGTAATTCCATTTCTGCAATATCCGTAGACTATATAGCTCTCATTCTATTTTATTTTATTTTTTCAGACTGGATTTTTTTTTTTTTTTTTTTTTGGCTCATTAGTAACGAGAGACTGCAGATAAAAAAAAAAACCACTTAGTTCATGCAGACCATTCTTGAGTATTCAAAAACAGAAAAACAGAAAAACAAAAAAAAATGCTTAAATCTGGACCCTTTTTTTTTTTTTTCAGATTGTTAGAAGAGCTTTACAAGATCAGTAAGTTTGCTGGTAGACTTCACGTGATGAAGGAAGATCTAGAGACTCAGGGGCATCTTGATCTAGAGCACTTTGAAGAAAGGTATGTAGATGCGACAGATATGTAAAAATGATGGAAAATGAACCAAGGCATAATGTGTGAATGCCTTATTATTCCCTTCGCAACGTTATTCTATGCACGACTCATCTAATCAATCAATCATTTAATCAATCAACATTGTCCTCATCTTACTCATTTCCTCACAACTCGACACGGAAAAAAATATCCAGATATGGTTATAACAGCATCGTGTTTGGTCGACCAGATCTTTTCAAGATGCTTGTCTCTCATATCCCTGAAGGGAAATTATTGATGGGTAAACGTGTTTTATCTACGACTCAGATAGAGGGAGAAGGTGTCCAGATCCGATGTTCAGACGGGTCAACGTATCGTGGAGATATCCTTGTAGGCGCAGATGGAGCCTATAGTTCAGTACGGCAATGTATGCACAAGGCCTTGAAAGAAAAGGGTCTCTTGCCTAAATCAGATTCAGAGAAACTGAAGTTTGATCAACACTGTGTTGTGGGCATCACAGATGAACTTGACCCGGAGAGATTCCCTATCTTGAAACAAGAGTTCTGTGAACTGTATGGTATCATTGGCAAGAAAAGCCCATACACGGTAAGGGAGTGGTTTTTTTTTTTTTTTTTTTTTTTTTTTTTTTCCTCCTCGGATATTCCTTCAAACAATTTTGCCCATCCTATCCTGTCCTATCCTATCCGACTACACAAGATGATACCAAAACGCGTCTAGTGCTACCTAGCAGCAATTTTATTTTTTCTATTTATTTTTCTATTTTATTTTATTTTGGTTATGCATTCCCACTCCCTTAATCCTCATACTCTCGCATACTCGCACACTCTCAAGACTAATTAATGGCTTGCTCAATTGGCCCTGGTAACCGGGACAGAACCAATTGAATCATTGCTAAATACTTGTAGGGTGTCATAACCGCCTCTGTCCTCCCCTCTTCTCTCCCATTCCCTCCCCTAACTTCCCCTGCCACCACACTTCAATTCTAGAAATGCTCTTTTTTTTTTTTTTTTTTTTTTTTTTTTTTTTTTTTTTTTTTTTTTCCTTTCTGTTCTACTGCTCTCGCCCCATCTTATACACTCCATTATTAAAAAAATGGAAAAAAAAAAAAAAAAAAAAAAAAAAAAAAAAACTCCCCCCCGAAGCGTTTAGTGTTCATGCACAGACTCTATTTTCAGATTCAATTGCCCAGGGGGAAATCTATACAAACTTTTTTTTTTTCCACCCTTTTTTACGAGCTTTGTTTCGCGTTAACCAATAGAAGCTTGCAGTGAGTCTAATAGGCTAAACTCCCAATTGCTCCTATCCAATCTAATTCAAAAAAAAAAAAAAAAAAAATAGATTTGGCTTATTCCAATTGTAGGCAACAGGTTCGCTTGGTCCATTGGAGGGCGCATCTTGGATTCTGAGGCAGGACAAGAAGATGTCCGGAGTTTTTCATTTGCAGAATGGTGGCCCGAGCTCACTACGGATGTCTGTGATTTAGTTCGAGACTATACCCTGCCAGACTTCAGAGTCTCGTACCAACATGATGGTCATTACAAGAACGCCTCTGTGGCCCACCACGATGTCCACCATCACCATGATGAACTCCATGATATCCATGATTCAAATCATCCTTTTAGTGATGAAGGCAGCAGTGTGAGTGATTGTAGTAGCATTCACAGCAAAATACTCTCAGAGAGTGGCAGTAGCCCAATCTCATCTAGCGCAAGCAGCGCCATGATGGACGACCCTGTCTCGCCTGGTAAACACCCTCACCCTCCTTCGTACTCTGCCCATTTCACACAATATGAAACTTCTTGTGCTTCTAAATGGAAATCTCCACATCCCTCGCCACTATCGTCACCACCACTACTATCGCCCTCTCCATTACCATCACCCACAACAAATACAAACACAGTTGGCGATAGTGCAGCTTCATCGATCAATGGCAGTAGCCATAGTAGTCATGCGGATTCTCTTCCCCATGGGTTTACCCCGAGGCGTAAAACTCATGGGCCTGCCAAACCAGGCACTGTGGGTGAGATTATTGATGCCACCAATATGGAGCGAATTTCAAAGGTCATGCTCGAGTCAAAGTTGTTCAAGGTCTGGCACCATGAGCGAACTGTCCTCATCGGCGACGCTTGTCACAAGATCCTACCCTTTGCGGGGTAAGTAATTAAAATTGCTGCTTTGATACATTTAAAAAAAAAAAAAAAAAAAAAAAAAAAACCTCTTTACTAAAACTGTCAACGCCTTTTTTATACTTCCTTTCTCTGTATGGGCGCATATAGACAAGGAGCGATTCAAGCTATTTTGGATGGTATCTCGCTTGCAAATGCCCTCTATGATATGAAGACGAAATCAATGGACAATATCACTCGAGCGTTCAAACGATACAGTTCTGAACGTTTCCCAATTGCCAAGGGAGCTGTCGTTGGATCCCGATCTTTTGGTCGGTTCCTCAACGTCCAAGGAAGACTGTCCGACTTTATCCACAAGATTTCCTTTAGCCGAGTCCCACCTTGGCTTCTGAGAATGGCCACAGATAAGTTACATCTGAATCGACCTCAGCTAACATACTTGCCCATGGTCCCTGATCGTGGTGCTGCCAAAGCTCATAAACAAGATTATTCGCCTAAATATCTGGCTCGAATGGCCAATGAGAGGCAAAGAGCTTCTTCCTCTGAGGCCTCTCTTGTTGCTACTGCCGCTACTGCTAATGGGATTTCAAATAGCAATGCTACTTCTTTTGAAAAGCATCATGAGCCACACGGTCAGTTTAAGCAGCAGCAGCAGCAGCAGCAACAACAGCCACAGCGATTTGCGCCAGGTGAAGAAGGACAAGAGGAAGGAGAGCATTATAGGGTTGGAGCAAGAAGACAGCGTCCACGCTCGAAATCCCACCACCACCCAAGATCTCCAACATCATCCATTTTCTCATCTAAAGAGATCCTTCCCCCAATAGGAGCGCCTCTATCTCCATCTTCATCGCGCAAAATGTCACCAAGGTCACTGGTTCCGCCACCTTTGCCATTGGAAGCGCCTCCTCGTCACCATCCAACTGTCTATCTTCATCATCATGCCCCGTCTTCATCGCGCTCTTCCTCCTCACAGACATCTCCATACTCATCATCATACTCATTAGCGGCGACTACGAGTCCGGGAGTGGAGGAAGGTTACTTTTCTCATCATTCATCTCGATCAAGGCGGAACACGGTGGGTCAGAATGGTCGTTCACAGCCTTCTTCTCCTAGAGCAGGAGTTCCTCCGTTGGCACCGTTTGCATCGTTGCCGATCCCCTTTGAGACCCTGTCGCGATCCCCTGATGTGTACGCTCATGGGGCAACAACAACAACAACAACAATGACTTGTACGCCTCCACGATCCCCTACAAATGCGACCAACTATTCTGAACGCGTCACAGCTCTTCTGAATAGGCCATCTACAACACCGATCGCGCCTCTGACGGGACCGATGGCACCGACGATGACATCAGCATCGACGCCATCCACACCGATAGCAGCCTCATTCAAGAGGAGACATATGCGGACCAAGAGTCTTCACTTGGAGGATAATGAATCGTTGATGGCTGAGATTTTAGCACTTGAGAGGACAACGGCGATGATGAAGGAGCGTGCGTTGTTGCGTGAGAAGAGGTCGCTTGATCAGATCAATACTCAGTGGCGACAGCAACAGCAATATTATCAACGTCTTCGTCATCAACACAGTCACCCATTGCAACAGCAGCAGCAACAGCAACAGGATCAGCAACAACATCAGACACAACTCCGTCAGCCTCAGCCACTTTCATATCATAAGCTTCAGCAGCAGCGAGCAGAATTGGAGCAATCATCACAGCTTTAAAAAGAAAAAAGAAAAAAGAAAAAAAAGATAACAATCTATTGTATACCCCGCTCTCACAATTTCAAGGGCACCCACCACACAACATCCCTTTATTTTTATTAGTTTAAAAAAAAGGGCATTTTTCTGTCTATAGTTATATATATTTAATTTTATTCATCTGTATATCCTTCAAATCATCATCATTTTATCATTATCATATTTTTCCTAACTCATCTTCACTATCATCCATTATCATTATAAATATCATTATTCATTTTTCATCTTCATTTTCATCTTCATATATAATATATTCATTATCATTATCATTATCATAAACAATAAAAAGAAATCTTTTTTAGCGCGTGTAACGAACTAAAAAACACGTAATCAGTTTTATCTCCTCCAATTAGAGATGGTGTGAGAGACAATGTTAAATCCTATCCAATCAAAAATTGGAGAACATTATATATTCATTAATGCATTCCACACACAGACAAGACACAAGTGTCCTAGAAACTGTCTATGTCGTAACATGTAACTCATGCTCTCATTCACTCATTCATTCATTCATTCATTCATTATTTTGACGTTCATTCGATTTCTCTTTATTTTCTTTTCTTTTTTTTGTTCTCATTTCAACGTATTAGGCTAGACTATACTATACTACCTTGCATAACATGGCCACCGAATCTCTTACTCTGCAACCAGGTGGTGCAAAGATGCCACTCCTCGGCTTTGGAACTTGGAAGGTCCCCAAGGATAAGGCTGCGGATATTGTTTACAAGGTAAAATGTATATTATATTATACACATATATATATCTATATATCCAATATCCCCTTCCCTTCCCCTCCAAACCACTCTTTTTTATTTTACGTAAAAAAAAAAAAAAAAGGGTTGCTTTTTTCCTGTCGTTTGGAAAGGGTCTCCTCCCCCTTCATGCATCATGCATTTTTCAATCCAAATATCCATAAAAAACAAAAAAAAAACAAAAAACACACAGACTTGGATAGCAAGTAGAGTGGAGATCAAAGCGTTATTAATTATTATTATTATTATTATTATTATCATTATATATGTATATATATTTTTTCAATGGGATTGCGTTTAGGCCATTCAAACTGGTTACAGGTAACGAAAAAAAAAAAAAAAAAAAAAAGATCATTAATATTCAAGACAGTCAAAAGCTTTTTTTTTTTTTTTTTTTTTTTTTTATTTCACTTTCACGGAATTGATTTTTTTTTTTTTTTTTTGTTTTTGGGCGTGGGAAAATTTGTCAATAGATTATTCGATTGCGCTTGCGATTATGGCAATGAAGTTGAAGTCGGACAAGGTATCAGGAAGGCTATCGAAGATGGTCTTGTCACTCGTGAACAGCTCTTTGTCACATCCAAGGTAAATAAATGAAAACTATACTATAGGGAGAAAGAATTTTTTTTTTTTTTTTTTTTTTTTTTTATTTATGGTTCGATACTCATTCATTTCTTTTTCTTTTTTTTTTTTTTACAAAAAAAAAAAAAAAGCTGTGGAACACTTATCATCGTCAGGAACATGTTCCTATGGCGTTTGACAAAACACTCACAGACCTAGGATTGGATTACCTCGATCTTTACTTGATCCATTTCCCAATCTCACTCAAATTCGTCCCATTCGAAAAACGCTATCCTCCAGAATGGGGTAACAACGAACAGGATTTCGTCCCCCTTCAAGAGACCTGGACTGCAATGGAGCAATTGGTGGATTCAAAAAAAGTCAAAAACATTGGTGTGTCCAACTTCAATGCGATGCTGTTGATGGACCTTTTATCGTATGCTAGGATCAAGCCTGCAGTGTTGCATGTGGAAATCCACCCGTATCTCAATAATCAAGACCTGGTCCGGTATGCTCAATCGCAGGGTCTTCAGATCACTGGTTATTCTAGCTTTGGCCCTGCTTCCTATGTGGAGCTAGGAAACGACTCCGCCAAGGGTGCTGTACCTTTGTTTGAAGAGGAACGCCTGGGCAAGATCGCGAAGGCACATCCCCCAAAGTCAGTCGCTCAAGTCATTCTTCGTTGGTTGATCCAGAACAAGATCGCAGTCATCCCTAAATCATCCGATCCAAAGCGTATGGCCCAAAACGCAGACATCTTTGACTTTGAGCTGTCTTCAGAGGAAATGAAGACCATCCAAGGCATGAACATTCCTTTGAGACTCAACGATCCTCGTGATTACGCCAACATTCCCATGTACGCTTAAGTGGTTTTTTTTTTTTTTTTATTTTTATTTCAAATAAAATAAAATGCAATATAAACAATTTGTCCATATCATATCCATTCTTAAGGTCCATACGGAGAACAGCAGGAGATGTAATGAAATTGTAAACTGTTAAAACACAGGACTAATAATGATTCAACTTGAGTTTATAAAGAGGCATAGCCTGATCGGGAGGCCATCCAGTTAATGGACTAGATATATGGGATCGAATGGTAATTTTTTTTTTCTTTTTTTTTTTTTTTTTTTTTCTATTTCATTTTATTTTGTCCTGGAAAACTATTTAAAATGCTCTTCCGCTGCTCTGACGACGGTTCAAAAAGGTCATCAAGTCGTATTTGGTGGCAACTCCCAAGCACCAGCGACGATCATCATCTGTCACAACAGCAAACGAGTGCTTCTCAAAGAACTTTGACAAGTCTGCAAGCGGAGTATTTGGAGTGATAGTTTCATATCTAAATAAGCATCAACAAATATAATGGATTTGCAAGAGTGAGCTTTTTTTTTTTTTTTTTTTTTTTTTTTTTTTTTAGGCATAAAAAAGAGAGAGTAAAAGAGAAAGAATGATACGTACGCGTGAGAGCCGCCTTTGCCTTTCTTCTTGAAAGAATACATCCATTTGGAGACCAGGTCAGATTCCTTGGCACGACCATCCTCCATAGCTGTGGTCAGAGCAGTCAACGAAATGTACCCCATCAATTTCCGATTCGTTGGGTTGATGACAGGCAATTGTGAGAACTCGCGAGTCAACATCAGATCCAATGCATAACCGACCGTCGACGTCGGAGGGACTGTCACTGCTGCAGGTAGCTGAAGTTCCTCCACACTCGCAGCACGATACTTCTCATGGCGATGATAAGCAACCGATCGAGCCATAGCCTCATCCATCAAATCATGTTCCAATAACCAGTCGTCCGACAAAAGTGTTGAAGAATAGTTGCGTGCAGTATCGTTCAAGATTGTAAGAATACGTGGCCTCTGATCTGAAGCATCACTAGTGTTGTTACCGAGTCCTTGAGAGTACCGTAATGCGGCCGCAACGACACTTCCAGATGAAGGGCCTAATTTTTTAACACAGCTTGAAAAAATATTAGAAAACCCTTTCTACCTTTCTCTTTCTCTCCTTTTTCTATCTTCATCAAAGAAAAGAAAAAAAACCCCTTTGACCAGTGGATCATTTACCGCAGAATACACCATCCTCACGGATAAGTCGTCGTGCAGTCGAATAAGATTCCTGATCAGACACCTGGATCCATGTATCAACAAGACTCTTATCCAGAATGGAAGGCGTAAAGTTGCCACCGATATCCTCAACCTTCCATGCACCACTCTTGACGACCCCATCCTGGATTGATGAATGCTCTGGCTCGACTCCTACGATCTTTAATTCAGGAATCCTGGCTTTCAGGGTCCTAGCCAGTCCTGTGATTGTGCCACCAGTTTCTACACCAACAACAAGGATATCCAAACGGCCCTCAGTCTAGCGGCATACACACATATACGCAAATGTAGATGTATTAGAGATAAAAACAGTCATTTTTGAGCAAGTAAAAAGTTTTTTTTTTTTTTTTTTTTTTTTTTGAATAATTACCTGGACAAGAATCTCCTCAGCTGTCACCTGGCTATGGACTTGAGCATTTGCACCATCTGTAAACTAAAGAAAGAAAAAAACATTAAGCCATTATTGTAATGTTCCTTATCATCAAACCATGTTGACATTATGATTTGAATATCATTATATGTGTATACCTACCTCATCCACCAAAATAGCATTTGGGAGGTCCGCTGCAATCTTTTTAGCGATAGCGAATTGAGATTCTGGAGAGTCAACATGGGCTTCAATGGGTGTACGAACGATCTCCACATTCAATGATTTGAGCAATTGCATTCTATCCTGACTGGTACGCTCGGGGACGAGGCCAATGACTTTATAGTGTCCATGTTTAGGTGCTAAAAGGGCTAAACTGATAATCAAATTACCACTGCTGGGGACTACCAATGTTGTAGTTGAAGTGCCATCGTTATTATTGTTATTATTATCGTTGCTGTTGCTATCACTGCTGTCCTTGAGTTTATTAGCGGCCTTCAAGTTTTCAAGGATCCTCTGCGCCACACGATCCTTGATCGATCCGCTTGGGTTACTGAATTCGGTTTTGGCAAGAAGGTCGACTATTCACAATAAAATAAACAAAAAAAAAAAAAAAAAAAAAAAAAAAACATAATCCGTTATGTTTCATATTTTTAAAGCAAAATAAGAAGGTCCAATTCATGTGTCCTTGATGTTTTCCTTTACCTTGATGCTTGTTACCAATAGATCTTAGACGAACAATAGGCGTGTTTCCGATTGTGTCTAATAAAGATTTAACGAAATGACCGGTTGTTAAAGTCTAAATCCTGTCTCCTGAGCTTTGAAGTAAGAAGACTTCTTTCTTATCAATTGTGGACAACAATATAAATTGTCGAGACTAATAATACCTCCGGCGGCGTCTACAATAGGAGGAGGCGCAATTTTAGTTCCTGTCATGATGTTCAGTTGATTTTTAATTGTTGAGGTTGAATGAAAGAAAAAAAAAAAAAAAAGAAAAAAAAAAAAAAAAATCTCTCACGGCAAAGTTTGACAGTGATCATTGTGACGGCTTTTTAATCTTTCTCGCATCATTTTTTTTATTTGCTGCGTTTGCCACCAACTTTGCATTACTCATTAAACTTCATTGCTTCATTGAAAAGAACAACCCCTCTCTCCCCTCTTTGTCTCTTCCATTTAACGTGTGGTTACCCTTTAAAATAACGACATATACATATATATATATATATTTCCCACACTCTTTCACCATGAACAGTCGTCGCATTCGTTGCAATGTTGGTCACGTCAAGAACTCATTCTTTCAGTTGGAGTTGGGTCTTGTCCGTCCAGACGTCTTTCAGAAGAGATTTCTCAACAAACGAATAACAGATATTGTGCTCGATCCCTCCACTTCTATTGAACGGGCGCATACCGGAGCAGTTAATACCATTGACATAGAAGAGGCCGAAGCTAGATAGTAAGGAAAGAGAAAAGGCCTTTTTTTTTTTTTTTTTTTTTTTTTTTCAATTGCTTAATTTTTCTTGGGTTTTCCGTCTGGGTTGATCTAGTTTGATTTCGGGCGGAGGCGATGGCAGTATCCATGTCTATGACCTAGATGAATCCGAGCGAGAAGAGCGCCGGATCATCAAGAGTATTGCCTCCGTCAACAGGTACTAAAACATATAAAATAAAATGTTAATAAAGACGAGAGTATTTGTACTGCAAAACAAATTGTGAAGAAAACGTTAACCCGGCTTTATTTTATTTCTATTTTTATTTTAGGAGCGATGATGGGCACAGAGGAGGGGTTTCACGCGTGAGATGGTATCCATTTGATAATGGCATGTTCACCACATCATCGTTTGATAGTACTATTAAAGTGTGGGATACCAATGCAATGGAAGTAGGGCTATAACAGATCTTTACTCCCCTCTTATTCCCTCTTGCTCAATTGACCATTTGGAATTACCTCCGCATATACATAAAGGGATTTGTCTAATCTTTTTTTTTATTCTTCAATAGGTTGCTTGCACATTTGACTTGGCAAACAAGGTCTATAGTCATGCCATGTCTTCAAAAGCGACTCATGGACTCATAGCAAGTAGGTGGTCTATTTCGATTGAGTAAAAGCGGTGATAAGAGCTCATGGAGAGTTAAAAATTAAGCGCTTTTTTTTTTTTTTTTTTTTTTTCGGATATACTATAGCCGCATCAGCTGACCCACGGATACGACTATGCGATTTGAAAACTGGTGCATATACACATTCTCTTTCAGGACATAGAGGAACAGTTTTGAGCGTTGAATGGTCTCCTCGTCACGATTATTTATTGGCATCGGGAAGGTAATATATCATTCTTTTTCTTCTTCTCATCGCTATGGTCTATCTAAATCAGATAAAATCAGCGACACGAGGTTTTTTTTTATAAAGATGTTTATAATAACCTTTTCTTCAGTACCGATACGACTGTGAGGCTATGGGACATTCGAAAATCAAGTTCATGTTTATGCTCATTAGACCTACACAACAGCGCCTCGCCTCCTCTCGCAGAAAGTAATTCAGCTCATACGAGAGCTGTCAATGGGGTCAGTTTTACACCAGATGGACTATATCTCGTGACGACAGGGCATGATGACAAGATGCGACTTTGGAATTTATATACAGGCCAAAATACCCTTACCAACTATGGCACAATGATCCGAAATCAGTTCGTTCATAATCTATCACCGCTCATTTCGCCTCTTTCTGTGGCTCCTCCATCGTCGTATTATGTATTCCATCCATCAGATGATCGGTCGATTTTGATGTTTGATTTGATGGATGGGTCACTTGTCAAGCGGCTGACAGGATCTTATGGCCGTGTCACTGCCCTTGCATGGAGACCAAGGACACAGGTAAGCGAAAGCAAAAAGAAAAAAATGCCACAATGTGACAACAACAGCCCTGCGTGCACTGGCGATAAGAAAGAAAACATATTCGAGTATACCCAATGGAAGCAATAACATTGACCACACGCGTTTTTAGCTCATTGACGATGTTTTTTTTTTTTTTTTTTTTTTTTTTTTTTTTTTGGTCCGATCATCTGCTTTGCTTCGTTGCTTGTTTATGCTTGTTTACGATGTGTTAGGAGATATACAGTGCAGGAAATGACCACGACATTCTTGTATGGTCGCCCAAAAATATTGACCGCAACAATGCATTGCAAGCTCTTGCTGATCAAGATACTTGGTCAGACTCTGATAGTGACTAGAATAAATAAATCCAATCTCTTTTAAGTATGATGACCATGCCTGAAGAAGAAGAAGAAGAAGAAGAAGAAGAAGAAGAAGAAGAAAGAATCCTGTTGTTCTTTGTTATTATCGTGTAAACACTTTTGCCTGGGAGTCTTGTTTATTTGTTCCTTTCATTTCTCTGTAATCGGCGTTTTATGCTCTTATGCTTCTCATGGGGATATAATCAATCCAAATCAAGCGATCATTGTCCAATGCAGTGGGAGTGAGGAGGATGAGAAGGAGATGAGAGAGAAGGACAAAAAATTACAAACGGAGATTAACAAATGTGAGAGCGATTAAAAGACGCAGATAGAGCTTGATTTCTCTATTTTAATAAGAGATAAAAGAAAGATAAAAAGAGTATAAATCATAAAAGTTTTTCCAATCGTTTTCTTGATCCACAGAAACATGTGCAGTCTGCACTTGTGGAAGAAAAAAAAAAAAAAAAAAAAAAAAAAAAAAGTGCCTTCAAGTCTTTGGAGAAAACCAATCAATCGACATGAGCATTAAAAAAGGTGAGAGGATAAGATGAAAAGGTTGCTTACGGACTAAAAGGAAAAAGGAAAAAAAAAAAAAGGTCATGGTCATAGTCATGCGCCAAGGTTTGATAAAGAAAACGAGAATGGTTCTTTCTTCCTCTTCTTCTTTCTTCTTCTTCTTCTTTCGTGTCTCTTCAGTGGTTCAGAAGGATGAAACGGGGAGGAAAAAGATAAGAGAGCATTGGCCTTTTTTCTCTTTTTGACCACTGAAAACTCTTGACTGGATATGAGAATGGACAAAGGACAGACAAAAAAAAAATGCCTTCTTGAGACCGTCATTGTTTTTTTTTTTCTGTTTTTTTCCTGCTTTAGTGATGATATGAAACACATGTCCATGCTGTTGTTTACGCGCGTTTTTTTTTTTTTTTTTTCCCTTCTTTATTTCAAATTCCAAACCCTTTTGTCAAGAACCCGAGTAAAAAATAATTGTAATAACTGTAATAATAGTAATATACAATAATAAGAAATAAAAACAAAAAATGAGGAGAGACATCTCAAAATGGCCGAAATGTCCATTAGGACCACAATCCTTGGTGTATAATAGGAAAACAAAAGATGAAGGAGAGGAAACGAGAGCATGCGTCATTATAATTATTATAATTATTAGATAAAAATGGTTTCGATTGCCATATATAATTATCCCAATGTTCCGTGGTATGATCCTTCAATATGTGGTGCATATATAATTAAGCCGTTTTAACCTGTAGAACCAGATGTTATGTTGCGAGATGAGTGTTATCTATGATGTATACATGTCATATATATTTTATATGTTTATATAAATGTAGAATGGATATGATTAATATGATTATGGGAAGGATGATGACAACAGAAACAGAGCACACGATAACGATCAAACTTTTTTATTTTTTTGTCTGATTTCAATAATGCAATAAATGTAAATTAATGGCCAAGCCAATGAATATTGAGTATTTTAAAGAATGGACCCTGATTCCTTCCCCCTCTTCCCCTTTTTTTTTATCATGCATTTCTCTTTGAGCCTCTGATTGTTGGTCAGCGCTTGTTTTTGTGTATCCCACGGCTCAAAGAGACGGAGTAATCGTTGATCTAATCGTGCGGATGGATCCAATGACATTGCATCTTGTTGTTAGTGTGTTTACTTTGTCTGTGTGAAAAGTATGCAGCGAAACACTAACTGCAAATGCTCTTGAGAGGTGTGAAATGTTCATTGTTGCACAAACAATTCAGGCACAAACAAGCTTTTGGATGATTGGGTTTCTACTGTCAATCCCCCCTCCTCCTCCATCTGCCTCCCTCCTCCTTTTCTCTCTCTCTCTCTCTCTCTCTCTCTTCCCATTCCACTAACCTACATGTTAGCCCTTTAGCCATTAGAGTAAGCTTGTAACAGTCTTGAATAACCAAGTGCCCTTCTCCTTCATTCTCTTCTTTTTTTTTTTCCTCCGACGTTATAGACTGACACGGATCTTGAGAGCACACCTAATTTCTTTTTTCATTACTGTAATCTAGGCTATGCTTTACTTGGAAACGATCGTCACACTTTGAACATGTATTCGTCTTTCATAAAGAATGGAGGGTAGACTATATGCTTACAGCGAAAGGCACTTTAATGAAATCGAAGCACAATTTACATTCACTTTTTTTCTTTTCTTGAGAAAAAAATGTTTGTAAAAATAAAAAAAAAAATATATCGTTCTCTCACTTTGTTGACCCTCCATTCATTCATTGTGGACTTGAAAGTAAAAAAAAAAAAAAAAAAAAAAAAAGTTATATCTTTGTTTATTTTACTTCATGGCCATGCCCATATAGCATCACCAATCAACCAAACAAACAAACGGCTAACCAAAACACTCTCTCCATCCAATCTGGATTAAAGCTGGCAGGTTGTCGGACAAGATAGTGAACTGATTATGCGCGATTGTCTTTCTACCCCATGGACCTTTTGACCTGACAACATAACCACAACAAACAATTCGAATTAAAATAATATAATATAAAATAGAATAAAATAAAACAAAAATCCGAAAGATCTCTCCACCCTAAACAAAAGCATACTATGGTGCGCCATCGACTTCATCTCGTGGGATTTATGTTTTTAATATCATTCTGCATAGATTGATATTATCTCATATTACATTGCAGAGAAACATTCATTTATTTTACTACATACTTCATTAAATTATTCATTCCTTCATTGCACCTTTCAACATTCTTATCTGTTCTGTATACAGAGCGAGCGGCATACCCGCCATCATTTAGTTGATCTACATTGAGCATTGCCTAAAAAACAAAACAAAAAAAAAAAAAAAAAAAATCAGGCCTAGCTAATTCCTATAAAAGACCCCCACCCATACAACCATCCCCCTTTCTGATCTTCAACAATTCTGTTCAAGCTCATCCCGGACAAACTTCCTCTTCTCTCCCTCTGTTTCCCTTTTCTACTTTATTCATTCCAAAAACATGAAGCTTCTTGCCTCTGCTGCTCTTTTGGCTTTGTCCTCCATGGCCTTGGTCGCCGATGCTCACATCTCCTTCCGTTACCCATGCCCTCGTAAGGCCCCTTACTCTGAGTGCCCTAAGCCCAACGACAACCAATGGGGCGAGGTTGACTACGATGTTCAATCTCCCGTTGGTACCTACGTATGTATTTTTTTTTTTTTAAAAAAAATTTCTTTTATATCGCGTTATTCGAGACCTATATCCTCCTGTATGGATAAAGTATTTAATTGTACCTCAATTTTTTTTTTTCTTCTCTACAATATAGAACCACATTTCAGACCCCATCTGCAAGCACTCCAGCTCATTTGCTGGTGTCCGCCCCACTTTCCAGGCTGGTTCCACTATTCCCGCCAAGATGGATGTTGATGTTAACCACAGGGGAGGAAGGTATATACATAAAAGATAACATGCCTAGTAAATCTTTTATTATTTTTATAATGAAAATAAGGTAACTCACTCTTGCTCTCGCCTTTTGATCCCATGCGATGATATAGCTGCCAATGGGCTCTTTCCTATGACAACGGCAAAACCTGGGTTGTAAGTGATTTCTTTTTCTTCTGCCTTGTCTATTTACTTTTTCTTTACCTTTCTTTGCAATTTAATCTATCTTGACATTGAGCTCTTTCTAACTATTTTTTTTTTTTTTTTTTCTTTCATTTCATGTCACGTTTCCTTAATTCATGATGGTTTGGTATGGATCGTCCATATATTATAGGTTATCCAAGATCACTTCCAAGACTGCCTTGCTAACGCTCCTGCTGGCAGCACTTTCTCCCTCCCAGTGAGGATCCCAGCCAATGCTCCCTCGGGTCCCGCTGTCCTCAACTGGCTCTGGAACAACAACGAGGGCAACCGTGAGTTGTACTCGAGCTGTGCTGATATCGTTATCCAGGGAACCAACGGTGGATCTCTCTCAGGGGTTGCTCCTCTCTTTGCCAACTATGGTGCCGGTAGCCCTTACATTCCTGAGAGGGCTGTCTCGGGTGGCAACTGGGGCAAGCAATACTTTGATGCTCGCAAGCCCATCACTGTCACTGTTCCTCCAAGGCAACTCAAGAGACAGGTTGTTCCTTTGAACTAAATGTTATCAACTACATTATAATATCAATAACAAAAAAAAAAAAAAAAAAAAAAAAAAAAGGTGTGTATCTGGGATGCACTCTTTTTTTTAAAAAAAAAAAAAAATAGGGAGAAAATGTATTTAAGCAACAAAAAACCAGCAAAGAGTTTCTGGGGGGTGACTTTTTACTTTTTTTTTTTTCCTTATTATTTGTATCTATCAAAAATTACCATAGCAATCTAACATCCTTTCATAACAATAATAAAGCTGGTCTTTAAAACATGAAAAGGGAAAAGCTGCCTGCCGCTGGCTTTTTTTTTTTTTTTTTTTTTTTTTTAACGTTGCACAGTTTTGTAATATAAGCCCTCTTTGCCTTGATTTAATGGCTCTTGTCAAAAAAAAAAAAAAAAAAATGCTTTTAGGTCTGTGAGATTATTCATTAAACGTTAGCAGCTCCTCTGTGTATGTACAGTCACCTGAAATAAAGTTTGGACAAAATGGATTTTCTTGATTTTTTTTTGAACAACCTGGACAAACAGCTCATATGCAACATACATAAAGACTTCATCAATACACATGAAATTTTACATGCTCACTAAAGAGGTCAATACTGTTATTTATTGGGGTTTTGAAGACGGCATTGTTAGAGTAGCAAAAGTGCCATGTAGGTTCAATAGTGAGTGTTCCTACCATCGACCCCATTCACTTCTTCCAGCCTTTCGGGCATGGTAGCGACAAGGCTGGCCAGCCTCTCTTGCGGTAAATTATTCCACTCTTCGATAAGAGCCCGTGTGAGAGTGGGAAGATCTCTTGGCCCTTTAGCGCGCCTATCGAGTGCATCCGCAAGAAGTGACCATACATGTTCAATAGGGTTCAAATCTGGGGAGCATGAAGGCCAGTCTGGAATCCTCGGGATGCTGTTTTTTTCGCGCCATTCTTTTGCAATCTTACAAGTATGAACTGGAGCATTATCCTCCATAAGTATGCCATCCTCTACCTCAGCCATAAATCTGGCTAGCTCGCCTTGATATACATCTTCCACGAAACACCGTCCATCTTTACGACCTCTTTCAAATACAACCAACCGAGACTTTCTGGTTGCTGTGAACGCCCCCCAGACCATCAGAGTTGTTCTACCACTTTTGAAAGTGGGTGCGAGGCAATCATGATCGTACTTTTCCTCTACTTTACGCCAAACTCTTATTTGACGAAAATGCTCACCAACTTCAAATGATGATTCGTCAGTCCAAACTACCCGATTCCAGTCTTCCATGGACCAACTCATATATTTTTTGACAAACTGCAGCCTCCTTTTTATATGTCCTTCTTTTAAGAATGGTTTTTTTACTGCAATCCGGCTGAAAATACCCAATGAATGCAATGCCTTCGCAACTGTCCTCTCGCAAACTTTGTTCGGCAATTGGTTAGTGATATCATTAAGAGTACACCTTCTATTCTGCTTAGTATGGCGAACGATGCTCCTGAGGTCCCGTTCACTTAGTACTTTGGGCCGTCCTGGGATCGGAGTGCAAGCAGTGGTGCCTCTTTCTTGGTACACCCTGATAATATTAATAACAGAGGTTCGGGGTACACCGCGTTGCAATGCGATTTCCGCAGCCTTCATGCCCACGAGGTGTATTCCAACGATGATACCTTTATTCTCAATGTCTAAGTGTCTCGCCATGGTGGTTTACTCAAGCTGTTTGTATGTGAAAAACAGGAAGGAAAGAGATTGAAGGAAACGCTTCCCTACGTAACTATTTCAATATTTTATTTTTTTGTCCAATCTTTGTTTCAGGTGACTGTACGTGTACGTACATACTCCATCTTTTTGTTGATACTCGAGATTCTAAACTAAACTATTTGTAATTAAAAGAGTAAACGATGGTGTAAAATACCCTTAGACTAATCCTTATCCTTCTACAAGCTCAAGGGCAATAATATTTATTTCTTTTTCTTCCCTCTCTCGCTTACTCTTTAAGCAGGCCAATGCTGACTATCATGGATAACTCAAATGCATAAAGTCATGTTAATTTTGCTTTGTAATAATGGTCAGGCCTTGAAGAGACACAAACCGGACACGACAACTGTCTCCAGGAATGTACATGTAGAGCATAGACGGCTTCTCCACAGTCATTGAAGTGGTAGGAATTGTATGGAACGTTGAGGAATGATGACAATAAAGTTATGGTTGGCATAGGTATATAGTCTGTTGATAGTCTTTTTTTCTAATTTATGTCAATGTCAAAAATCAGATTATCTTCTCTACGTCAACCATTCCGATGGGGTTAAATGTTTTCCTTTATTGACTAGTTGAGAAGTGCTTATTACTTGGATGAATAATAAACTAACCCACTCAGTATGCGTTCATTCTCGACTAGATCCTTACACTATATAGCATTATCTTATTTCCAAAGCAAAGCCGGCTCCAGTATAATGTCTGGTTTTAGAATTAAATAAAGTTGCATTCGAAAGCGATGCTTGCTTGGTATAAATATATGAACTGTGTTTGTCCACTAGACATTGTAGACGGACAACGTGTTGCCGCTCCTCTTGTTTGATGCAAATACGACTCCAAAAAAAAAAAAAAAAAAAAAAAAAAAAAAACACACGTGAATACTGAAAGTTGCTTGTCTTTTCCGAGGGGAAAGCACCTGTGCTTTTGTACTTGAACCCCAAACCCAGGATTCGAATTATCTTTCCTTGATACTTGTATTCTCTCCAGCTGTACTAATTGTGATGTCTGCTCGATGGTGGCTTCCTTTTTTTCTTTATCCCTTTTTTCCTCTCGCATCATTGCTTTTATGACAGTCTCACGCATGGTGTAAAAGTATCACCAGCAATTCGCCTATGGGTTGTATATTCCATTTGTGCTTCGCTTGACTCTAAACTTTTATCTTACTTCTAATTGGGTTCTAATGATTCCTTCATGAGAGTTGCTCTTGAGTATTTCATAAAACACCTTGATCGAATCCAATCCCGAACGGACGAGTATAGCTTTCTTGTATGTATGCGAGAGACTAGAGCTAGCTTTCAATGATTTGATGACGATCTTGCTTAAGCACAAGATGGACAAATCAGTGGAGAGAAAGAAATGAACTTTAAGGCCTGGGAACTTCATTTATTCATGGTATTAAGGGCTTTAAAACAAGGGGCCCTCCTCCTTCGCCTCTCTAGAAACCCCATTGTATCCCCAGTGGGCCACGTAGAGTCCATTCCAATCAAGAGTTTTTTTTTTTTTTTTTTTTTTTTTTTTTAAAAAAAAAAAAAAGAATAGAGAATCTGTTGCCCCAGACTTTTAATTCGTTCGATTCTCCGCATATTCTTCTGCTTTTGGATTGTTCAAAATGATTATCGCCAATTGCAGACCCCTTGCTGTCACCTAATTCGTTTTCTTCCTCGAGAATATCGTACTCTGGTGACGGGCACACCTCCCCAGCAAAGAATATGGGCTGTGTGTCTATTGGAATGAAGTTTGGCAGAAGCATGGAGTCAATTCTCAAAGCAATGGAGTAATGACCGGTCCCCAGTCCTAAAAATTTAGAGTTCAATATTTTAATACAGAAATATTCTTTGAATAAAGTAAATAATAAATAAAAATATGTATAACTTATTCCCTCATTTTTGGACGATTATGATTATGCAATCTGTCACTGACATTAACACGCATGATATGCATGTACTATTGATTCTATATACGTGAAGACTATGGAACCATTGAACCAATGAACCATTGCACCAAATTCAGCCTCTTGTTCTCATTATGTTCCCACTTCCTATGGCCCTCGCGTCATTCCTCTAGTGCCTCGACTCTTATTCATCCGTACATGTCCTTCATTTTTCTATATAAACCTCCGCCCTTTCCCCAATTTTCTTCCTTTTTTTTTTTTTTTTCTTCTTCACGCTTTTCCTCTTCAACAAGCAACACATAACACTACTCTTCTTTTTCCCCCCAGCCAAATCTTTTACTCATAACCAACCATGTCTTCCATCCATATCAAAGTTCACTCCGCCGAAGGCTTGCGCGATGTTGAGGTACGGACCCCTTCTTAGTTCATTGTTTCAATTTTTTCTTCTAATTTCACACGCGTCTTTTTGGACTTTTGTAACATGGACTGACAAGTAACACTTATTTCTATTTTCATTTGTTTGTCGGTCATGTTTAACAGAACTTCGGTAAGAACGACCCCTATCTCCAAGTCAGCTTGGATTTCGAAAAGAAGAACTCTTTCAAGAAGACCTCTGTCAAGAAGAACGCAGGAAAGAACCCCGAGTGGAACGAGGAGATTATCCTCAATGACTATGAGCCCAACGAGCACCATTACTTGTACGTCGAGATCCTCGACCAGGAGAAGCTCGCTGATGCCGTCATTGGTTACGGCGCTATCCCTTTGCGTCAGGTCATTTCGGCCGGCGGCTCTTACAGGGGTAAATTTGAGGTCTATGATGACGAATCCAAGCCGCATGGAGCTGTTTCCTTGACCATCAGCATCCTCAGTGCTGGTCAACAGGCCCCTGCGTCTAGCGGCCCCGAGGTCCAGGGTGAAACTCAGATTGTCAACGAGCACAAAGATAGGATTAAGTTGTTGGAGAACAAGGAGGATGCCTCTGACGCTGCTGTCGCTGCCGCCATCTTCGGCGCGGGCTTTGCCTACCTCAAGAGCGGTGGCAAGAAGGAGGTTAAGAAGGAGAACTAAAAATCCACACACTCTTTGGACTTTAATTTGTAAATAGTGGGTATTCTCGCAATTCTAAAAAAAAAAAAAATTCTATTATTGCAACCAAAAATTCAGCTGATTTTTTGTAAATAAAATATATAAAAAGGACTTCCAACATTTTTTTTATTTTATTTATTTTCATATTCCTTCAAAGATGGTTGCAGACAGAATGGAAACGATTGAGGAACGAACAGGAAAGAGATAGGATGTGATAGAGGGAAAAAGAAATAGCGACAATGCGATGGAAAATTTTAGACTGATTTTTTTTTCCTTCTTTTTTTCGCACGGTCCAACGCAATTAATGTGACGTTTTTTTTTTTCTCCCTCATTTTGCATGTCCATTGCAAAGACATGTCAAATGGAGTTCCCATCGTTGCTCACCCGACCACCTCTTTTCGTACTAATATCATATATATATTCGAGCGAGAGTTACTGCCTTTTTTTTTTTTGTTCTTGTTGGAAGGATGCGAGATGGCCAAAGCTTGTAACGAATGATATTACATATTCATGGTGTTTACCAACACATGTTCACATTTCTATTTCCCGCAGAGCACAAAAAGAACTTCGCGTTAAAAAAAAGCCCAAGCAGTGGAGGTCTAAGCAGGATGTGATATGTAGGGAAAAAAGGCATGTGACAAAGACATTGAGAAAATTGCACATTGCATATTGTATTTGTCCATCAACAAGTCAACAAAAAGAACAGGGAAAGAGTGGGGGTGTATGTGTGTGGTGTGATCGCGTCAATGCAGTTTATTGGTCAAGACACTTTCTTTTCTATTGAGGCTTCAAGCCTTATCAATTGAACTTGAACGTATTCGCATAAATATAAATGTACAAATCTTCCCTTATCTTTGACCTAAATTTTATCACGTGATTCTAGGTCTATTTATAGCACTCTAAACTGGGCTTAGCACCAAGGCCTCTTTGTGACCCGTTTCACTAACGCCACCAACTTTGCTCTTTCAATTCCTTTTCTTTTGTGTATTTTTGTCCCTTACAGATCCAGATCGAAGCAAACCATTTTGTCGAAATATTATTTGGTTCAAGATAAACTGTTTACTTTATAGTGATTTATATTCTTTAACAGAGATTCTAAAAGAAACTAATCAAAACTTTCGATAGATAGTTTTATTTTCTTTATTTTTTTTATTTTTTTCTTATTGACTTCTTGGATGGCAATATAGATGCTACGATAGCCTTTCTCTTCAGCAAAGGCAATGACGCTGGTAGTATTAGGCCCTTAAATCTTATCCATATCGCAAAGATATAAATGTATCTCTGTATTTGTCACTAGTTCATAGTTATCACTGATGCAGAGCTCGCATCTGGAAACATATAAACCCAGCTCTACCCATTCTTTCATTTATGGAATCTAGTCTTAGTATTTAACCTAGGACTGTAATGATATTAATCATTTATGGATCTTTTTTTTTTTTACCTATATATCTTTTTTTTTTTTGTTCCCTATCCTCTCTCCTCTGCCGAAATATGAAGCCTATGCCTCGAACAAAAGAAAGTTATCTATTTAGAAATGCAAGGGTACTTCAGCTCTTGAGGCTGCTAGATGTCTTAGTATCTCTTAACCAACTGCATCTAGCCTTCGTTTGGCGAGTAAAGAGCGTATGGTGGAGGATAAAGGAAGCTGTCCCGGGAGGGTTTCAGCTGAAGCAGCCCACTATTACTAGATAAACATGAATAGAGGCGCCCACTCGAATAGCAATTGAGGCTAGAGTCAGGCTAATAAGATGCTTCCTACACGCTGCCTGCGTGAACGCAATTCAATGTTGCCAGAGCGAAGCTAAAATGATTAGTTAAAAGATTGCTAGAGGACTATCACTTAAAAGATCAAAGGTATAATGGTCAAGCAGAGAGCAATCAAAAATACCTGTATGTAATATTAACAGGCCTGTTCACATGACCTAAAGAGCTACGAGAAGCAATTGCGGATGCCTACCGAAGAATGGGGCATGGTAAGTGGCGGGTTTGCGTCTCAACAAAACCATAAGCTGAAGCATACTGCAAAGGCTGTCAAGGTATAGAGACGAGCAGTCAATATAACAGAGAAGGAAGGCACCTAACTATGCTGGCCAGCATATGCAGGAATACCGCAAGGGACAGCTCAGTAAGCATTAAATATGTCCAGCAGGCTGTATAGAGCTTTGGAAAAGAATATTAATGGAATGGTGCAAGGTTTCAGTCTAATGCTACAATGGCCCCATTAAGGCGTTGTCAAGAAGAAGGGCGGCAGTATATCGTGCTAAAGCAGACGAACAAGCTATTAAAGTAACTTGAAAGCCCAGAAGTTTTTTTTTTTTTGTATTTTCCGGTAGTTATAAAAAATAGCAGACGACATATACAGTGATGGCTTTTCAGCATGAACAGATTCAAACCCTAATATTACTAGTCCCATTACTGAAGAAAGGACCATAATTGCAGTAACGCTCAGAGTATTCACATTGCCAGTCCAAGGAGGTACTTAATAATAGTATCAATGATAAAAAGCGCTTTATCAGGAGTTTTTCAAGCTAAATTATTTAGTGAATTGGCTATCAGCGCGGAAGTACAAAATCCTTGGAAAGCATCTTCTTTGTAAAAGCTCTAGAGGGAGGCATGGGCTCCTTGTTTCTCCTTGACTAACTAGTGTAAGCATCAGTTGGTTTATAATGTATAACCTATGATCACTATTCTACTCTTTATGCCGTCTCTTCATCTTGATAATATAACTTCCTGTGGCCAGAGATGGCGTCAAGTACTGCACACAGTCCTCGCGCTGATTAGGAACTAGCTCCATATCGTAGCTAAGAACCAACGTTGCTAGGATCAGCCGCAGTTCCATCATTGCAAAGTTTTTGCCGATACAGACACGACTACCTGCAGAGAAAGGGTAATATGTAAAGTCCTGAACAGGCGGAAAAGGTGACTCATCAGGAATCCAGCGCTCTGGAATGTACTCGGCCGCCTGTGGAAAGTATTCCTCTGACAAATGAAGTTGCAATGGGCTCGCAAGTAGGGCTAAAAAATAAAAAAAATAAAAAAAATAAAAAAAATAAAAAAAGTTAGTTGGTATGCGATAAATACGGAGCATAAACGTGTCAACTGCTCTACATACTTGTTCCCTTTGGAAAATAATAGTTATTTATGACTACATCTTCATCAACGTCTCGTGGTATACCTAGATCAATATTAAGATCGCTTGTCAGTATCTAACCATTTTAAAACTATATTTATATTTATACGTTACTATTCATTAGTCCGTACCTAGAGCGGCAGTAGGACGGAGTCGCATGGACTCGTTGATGCATCCTGTCAGATATGGAAGCTTGCGGATTTGCTCATAAGTAGGTAGAGATCCACAGGGATTAGTAGCGGTTGCGAGGTCAAGCTCTGATCTCAGCTTGATCAGCTTATCCGGATGTTTGATCAAGAACATGAGCGTAAATGTCATTACACTGTGTGCGGTATCTGCTCCAGCGATCCTGAATAGTCAAAATAAAATGAATAGTTCAATTTTCATTTCTGTTTCACCTACTGGGCACACGGGTCATGCCTTGGGGCAAAGTAGTATTTTGTGGTCTTACACTTCAACTTACAGGAAAACGCATGCCTCAATTCCGATAACCTTATCTGTAAATTCCTCACAAGCCATGTCCTCATGCTTGCTACCGCCATTACTGTCCTCTCTCCCTTTGGCTTGTGCGTCAATCAGATACTGTAGCAGGTCTACACGACGCCCCGCCTCTCCACTAGCCTTACGCTGCTTGACACAAGCAGCACCAAAATCTCTAAAAGAAAAATCGAATGGGTCTATATATTTCATCCATGGAATGAACGTTTGTTGCATCATTTGCTTGATTGTCTTTTCTAGCTGGTGAGGGACCGGGTGAGCATCATCCTTGATCGTCTCAAAGGATTGGCCAAATACGGTCTCCCCGATGATGTCAAGTGAGAGTCGGAACATAAAAGAATTAATATTGATCTGGCCAGGTGGAAGCGCTTTAGAGGTTTTGTTCTTCGCCGTCCTCGAACCATCGAGAGTACCATCGATCTCTTGTAGAAGGCCATCAATGCATTTATGCATAAGAGGCTCAACAGACTGAAGGTATTGCAGGCCGAAGGCTGGAGCGACAAGTCGGCGCTGTGAACAAAGAGAAGTTATACTTTCAAGTATTGATAAGGGTTGTTACAACTCAACTATATATGACAAGATAGTTCATGAAAGCAAAAAGGGTAGAGTGGTAAGCGTACTCGGCTCTTATAGAAGCTCTTGTTGCGGGCTGAGAATAGGTTTTCATGCCCGTCAAAATCAAAGACTTGGTAAATGGCGCTCTTGGGGTAGTCAGTTGTCACTAAGATCTATCAGAAGAAGAAGGAAAATATTCAACAACCAAATCAGGTTACTTTCACTGTATTCATTCGGGATAAAAAATTTTGACTTCGGACGAGCTACACCGAGGATTAATCATGCATAGCAATTCATTCTCATTTACCTCTCGAATCATGTCTTTATCGGCCACAGAGACAATATTTGGCGCGACCCTGACCACCTTTCCATATAGCTTATGGGTTAGAGGTAAGCAGTAATGAGCCCTGCCAGATAGGGAGAGTAGCGCCTCAAAGAAGCGTGTAGAAGCGATCAGCTTGTTTCCTGGGATAGGGGACAAGGGATGGAAGAACGCATTTGAAATCATCTAGATAAGGATAGATATGAATCAATTATTTTCCCTTCAGAAAAATATATGTAATAAAAAAAAACAACAGTAGGCTTTGTACTAGTACATTCTTTATGCCCTTCGCGACCCATAATGTGAAGATAATCCAGAGCAAGCTTGTAGGATTTAGGAGAGATTTGATAGTCGTAGGGTATGTGGCAAAGAGCCTTACGAAGGCACTTGCCAGTGCAGTGGCACAAGAGACGATAACCATATTAATAAATGTGGCCTTGTAAATTTATGAATGAAATAAGTACGCAGTTGATCTAAATCACAAATAAGAAAGATGTTATATATATTCCAACTTCTTCAGCAGCGACGCACTTATAGTTAACGCAGGTTAGTGCTCTAGATCATGGAAGGCATGCAAGGGTGCATGCTCCATAACGTTGTTATCGATCAGTAAATTATATGATCCTTGTAGACACTCTTAAATAATATACTGCTTTACTGTTTGTTAGTATGTGAGTACAAATATGTTCATGAGCTGTGTCATTCGCCAGGTCACCTCTTAGTACATCATCTTACTCATGTCTAAACAAAAAATAAAAAAAATAAAAAAAAAATTACTGACTCCGTTCAGAGATGACCATATTTCGGAATGTGGTCCTCGACCCTAAGAGATAGACCGGCATTTTCCACTAAATATTTGGAGATGAAACTTTGAGCGGTGTCTGCTTTACTTTGTCTGCCGCATGAACAGCGTGAGCAGCAGAAGATCCAGGCATGTAGCTGCATTTTCTGTATTCTGGTTAGTTAACTTTAGATGCCGGAAAAACTGGTTAGACCTGTTTAAGAGGGTGCTACTCGCATGTAACTGAAGATGCTTTAGTTTTTAGAAAACCATTTCAGTCTATGCCAGCCTCTGTCTCTCTGTGTCTGTTCGTGAAATTACTGCCGAGAAACATTCTGACCCAACTAAAGCTAGGGTTTGTTCTTAAAATAAGGTTAGCTCTGTCACTCGTTACTAGGGAACGTGAAACGTAGTGTCTGACCCGTCCCTGGTAAACAAAGGGTATATCTTCGCCAATGTTGATCTTTATCTGTTTACTTTAAACATTACTGTTTTATTTTTTCATGGCACGATCAGAGGCCTTTTCGTAAGTATATCTGCCAGTGAACCTGCCCGATTGTATATTTTAATGGGGTCATTTTATTTTGTTTTTTGAAGAGCTGACTTCATCATAGACTATTGCCCACCTTAATCGCAATTTTTTTTTTTTTTTTTTTTTGAAAAAAACCAGCACATCACTCCCTTCTTGTTTGCTCTGAGTAAGGCTTTGGCCTTATTGAATCCTGTAATACTTACAGCATTGGCTTCAGAAGCTACTGAGGCCACTCCTCCTGCTGCATCAACTCCAGAAGCCGTGGAAGTCGCTCTGCATAAGGCTTTGGCCTTATCCAATCCTGCTGCTCCTGCTGCACTGACTCCAGAAACCATTGAAGAAGCTCCAACTGCAACTTTGATTGCACCAAGCGATACTGCAGCTTTTACACCACCTTGACTATCCGCTAAAGTTCTAACCATTGCTATGGTTCCTATGATCAGAGTGGCTCCTGCCACCGCAGAGACAGCCGCCTCAATTGCTCCTAGTCCAGGTGCGCCAATGGATTAGAACACCACACAAGTAGAGCCAGCGGCAACTGTACCCCCATATGCGACCATAAATCCTGCACCTGCCCTTCCGCTTGCGATCCCAGTAATAAAGCAAGGACAATGATAGGATCCATGATAGTGCCAGCTGCTGCTGCTCGATAACGATAGTCTTTCTTGAAGCTAACATGTTATTTTGTTAGTAGTAGTTTTATTCATTTCTTTGACTTTTCTCCTTCGTTTCAGAAGCAAATGTGAATGGCCAGCGCGCCTTGTTAGTAGTCAGTTTGAAAGAAAATATCAAAGTGACGGAAATGAATAAAGCAAAACTCCGATTTAAAAGGAGATGTTATTCGAATTGACTAGATAGATGGGATGAATGCTGCTTTTATCCGACATTCATGCATTGCAATCCGTTTATTCTGTTCTGCACCCGGATCAAAGGGGCTGTTCAGGGGCTGATTGCATAGGTGGTTTGGTCTTTTAGGTTGTGAGACCCGTCATTTCCAGCTACAGACAGGAAAATACTTGAACACATATAAAGAATAACATAATACAAAACTGAACGAGAAAAAACAGTCAGTTCTTCAATGGTTTTTGTGCAAAAGAAGCAACAAAGAACCAGAGTTCCTTGAGCTGCTACTCGCTTTATAGTTTATGGCCTATGTGTACTATGATAAATCCAACAATATCACTCGTCCGAATAGAATGGATCCCTTTTCTTACTCTTCCACTCCTTAAAGAAGGTTATGGCAATGGCACGGACAGGAGATCTCTCTTCTCCATTAACAACAGCAGTCGTAGGCAACAGGCAACAAAACCCTTTTCCAAACCCGCATTCCTGCAGATCAAGAGCGCTTTCTTGATTATTTCCCTCATACTGGCCTTGGAGACAACACATCGACTGACTGAATATCTGGATCGGACTTTACTCTTAGCACTGCTCATGTGACTCGAAAGACTTTCATCATTCTATGGAGTCTTCCTGAAGAGTCGGTTAAGGAATGGGAAACAGTAAATCGGGAAGGGTCAGAGTTTCACAAAGATATTGATTATAAAGGTACCAGGACAAGGACTAACTCCGCAGAGCCAGAAAATGAGAGAGACGTTTTGCAACTCGACCGCACCAATATGAATTGTCGGGTTACCACACTTGGACGACCGTCTCTTGAACTTTTGTCAATACTCTGCCCAAAGTCCTGAAGGACCTGATGGAAAATGCGACATTAGTAACATCCTAGGAGTTGATCGGCTCGATCCATGTGTTTGATCGACTAAACATGACCCCTCGTGATTATAAAAGCGGAGCCATCTTACCTACAGTCATGCCTAAAGGAATAATCTATTTGGGCTCGCTCTTCGGCCCTGAACGAGCAGAAGCATGGTCAGAACGGCATCAGGTACTGGAACGCTGCATTGTTGATAACTTTGGTATCCGGAATCAATATATTATAGATGCAACATATTCTGGGGAGAGCTACATCCGAAGCTGGATCAAATTCGCTAACAGAACAGTGTCAGGGTTTTTGAGGCTACATCTTTGGGCATTCGGCGGTGGATTTGTAAAAGATGCCTTACATATTATAGAACTAATGTCTGTTTGGGTCCCGAGAGGCCGTCCGGATGAGTATAGCAAGCTTGACCGATAGACAACTACTAACATCAGTTTCAATATTAGTATTAATATCAATAACAAAGCCAATCCTTGTAGAGTCCACCATCAATCCACCCATCACTATCAGCTCCAGAAGTGAAATCGTCCGTGTTTTTGGAGCTTTGCAGGCAACAACATCAAGAACCATCCTCCATTGTTTTAGCCACTGATGCCCCCACCCACGTGGATCCTTGCTTCTCATGAATTCTTCTCTGCACAACGGTTTTGCCTGATTACCAAGAGCCCATGGCGAGGTTAGGGAGGCCGCTATTGAATTCTCTTACGGCCTACTGTATTCATAGATACTTCATCAAGAAGCATGTGATTTGTACTAAAGAAGACTCTGTATCACTTTCTTTTCTAGTACTATAGCCGCTGGCACACCATAAATGCTCTGCCATGTTGGACTGTGCCCTGTGCATTAAGACGGACAAAAAGAAGTGGAAGAGATGTTAAAAATGAACGGCCTCATATGAACTGAGGTGGAGTTTCTAAAAAGAGCAAAGCACGTAATGACCCGCGTGACACTTCGCTGGACATATACGTTTGAATCCCAACTAACCAGTGACAATATGGCGGAGCTATTCGAGGATATGCAGCGTGGCCTCGAAACGATAGGGGGGCTCTTAGTGGACTGTTCAAGAAGCCCATTGTGGCCTTGGACAAGACCACATATGTGAATTCGCTCTAAGGGTTCAAACGTATTGCTCACATCGCTCGCTGTATACATATTATACATTACTCATATTAGTGCCAGCTCTCACGTCACTGCTAACCAGTATAAATTGCCAACACCATCGTAGCAACCTTGGAAAGACTTTAGACGATAAACCAGCAATGAGCAATATAGCCAACCTTGTCTTAATAACAAACCGACGTGCCATTAGATTTTGTTTTACGTACAGACACAGAGACACAGAGGCTGGTATAGACTGAAATGACTTTGTCTGAAAAATAAATCCAAAGCATCTTCATTTACACGCGGGTAGTGCGCTCTCGACCGATCTGATCCGCTTTTTGGCATCTAAAGCTAACTAGCAGATGTATGTCTAGATCCTCTACTATTCATCTTGTTCATGCGGCAGACAAACACCGTTTAAGGTTTCATCTCCAAATGCTTAGTGAGATATGACAGGCTATCTGAAAGTCAGTCCGAAACAGTGCTTCTTTTTTTTTTTTTTTTTTTTTTTTTTTTTTTCTCGCTTTGATAATGGGTGAGTAAGCTTGCCGAATGACACGACTCATGAGCAAATTTGTACCGGCATACTAACAAACAGTAAAAACAGTAAATTATTTAAGAATAAAAGTCTACAAGGATGACAAAATTTATTGATCGATAGCAATGTTATGTAATGTATATCCTTGCATGCCCTTCATGATGTAGGGGATCGACTATAAATGCATCGGTCTTGATAGTATGTGTCAACTACTTGCTTCATCCACAGGGTTACAAGACCACACTTATTAACATGGCTACCTTCCCCTCTACAGACCCCTTCTTAAAGCTCTTTGCCACATACTCCACAACTATCGAATCTCTCCTAAAGCCAACAAACTTGCTCTGGATTGCCCTCGCATTATGGATCGCGAAGGGCATAAAGAATGTAAGGGTGCAAGTCTACTCTTATTTTTATTTTGTTTTATTTCATTTATTAACTTATTATTATTATTTAATATCTTTCCTTACTCTGGTCTGGTCTAGATGATATCGAATGCGTTCCTCCATCCCTTGTCCCCTATCCCAGGAAACAAGCTAGGCGCTTTTACACGCTTGTTTGAAGAACTGATTATATCATCTGGCAGGGTCACTACATTCTCCCTCTGCTTCATAAGATATATGGAAAGGTGACCAGGGTCGGGCCAAATTTTGTCTCTGTAGCCGATAAAGACATGATTCGAGAGGTATCTGAAGACAAACTTTTATGCACACTTGTTTCTGAGTGTAGCTTGTCCAAAGCCGAAACCTCTCATCCTCATGGAAGCCAGTATAAGTAGCCTAATCTGGTTGTTGAATGTTTTCCTTTTTCTTCTGATAGATCTTATTGACAACTGACTACCCTAAGGGCTCCAATTATCAGTTCTTTGATTTCAATGGTCATTGAAAACATAATCTCACCCGCAACAAGAGCCTCAATAAGAGTCGAGTACGTTTATCACTCTGTCCTCTTTTTGCTCTCATGAGCTATCTTGTCATTTATAGTTGAGTTGTAACAACCCATATCAATACTCGAAAGTGTGACTTCTCTTTGGCACAGCGCCGGGTTGTCTCTCCAGCTTTCGGGCTACAATACCTTCAGTCTCTTGAGCCTCTTATACATAAATGCATTAGTATCTTTCTACAAGAGATCGATGGTACTCTCGATGGTTCGAGGACGGCGAAGAACAAAACCTCTAAAGCGCTTCCACCTGGCCAGATCAATATTTATTCTTTTATGATGCGACTCTTGCTTGACATCTTTGGAGAGACCGCATTTGGCCAATCCTTTGAGATGGTCAAGGATGATGCTCACCCGATTCCTCACCAGATACATAAGACCCTCAAGCAATCTGTGCGGCAAGTATTCAGCCTATGGGCGAAATATTGTTGCAAAATTTTAGGGGCAGATGTGGTAGGAGATTTAGGTCGTTTTGGTGGATTATGAAGCCGGTCACTTCCAGCTGATAGATAAATAATTCTAACACAATAAAAGAACACACACACATACTCGAAGACTGGACGAGAACAGTCAGTACTCAAATGGCTCTTGTGTAAAAATAAGGAACAAGGAGCCAGATTTTCCTGAGCTGTTGCTCGTTAAATAGTTGGTGGCGAACCCTCTACACGTGACTAAAACTAAAACCAACACCCCCACCAGCTGCGAAGTTCGGCTCCGCCAAGCCGCAGCTCAAAAAGAAAGAAACTCATTGTGCTGTTTGCGCTTCTACCACCTTGACTCTTGCTACCCCGCATTTTGGTCATTGCATCATTGTTCTTGTCACCCTTTGGTTCGCCTTGGCATCGACCAAGGAAAATTTTCTTTCTTCGGCCAATCATTTTGATCCGTGATCACGCCATTACTTCCACATGATGATGTTGCCATGGACATAAATGTTGGTTCATTCCTCCATTCCCTTTTTTTTTTTTTTTTTTTTTTTTTTCTTTTTTTTCATTCGCAACTCCTTCCTCCTTGCCCTGCTTGAACTACTTCATCGTCATCATGGCCCGCACTGTTATTAAGAAAGACGAGGTTCCTCCTTGCCCAAGACCAACCACTTCCACCAAGACAATGCTTCCCTCTTCAGACAAGAGCTTAAGTCTGTCTTTGGGCACGTCTCCAGAGTCGCGTCCTGCTGTCACTTCTCACTCTCCTATCACTCCTTCGACCCCTACCACTCCTCCTGCTTCTGCTTCTTCTTCTACTCCTGCCGTTGTTCCTGCTCCTGCCGTCGTTGTCACTCCCCCTTCTTCTGCTTCTCCTGAGGTGGTTGCCCTTACTGACCACGAGGTTGGCCCTTCCTCTGTTTCGCCATTTGCAGCGGAGAAGTCTTCTCCAGAATCTCCTCAGTCCCAGACAGTTCCCCCCCCGCTCGAGAGCTAAATAAGCGGTCAGCTGAGGCCTTTCAAGACATAGACGAGCCAATTGAGAAACGCGTACGGGCGAAGTATCTTCTTCACGGCGAGGTGGCATTCTCCAGAGGCTTGGCTGACCAGTCGCGTCTTCGCGAGAGGCTTCGTTCACGGAAGGTGCAACTTGCGCCTGAGGAGCGTCACGAGATTGAGCTTGACCTGTCCTTGGCGACAAGGGATGTGGAGATTGGATTGGAGTGCCTTCGTTTGCTGTGCCTCCCGCCCCCGACCCAGACTTGGCTGGTGTAATTGATCTGGCGCGAGAGGTTGTTCGGTGTCGGCGTAGTGGGGATTCTTCTCAGTAGCTCTCTGTAGGTTCTCAATAAAATCATCTTCCCATAATCGTTGCCTTTGAGTTGCGAGCTTGAGGAAGTCTCCATTAATTGTTTCTACCCCATCCTTTGTGCCATAATGCGTTCGACCCGTCTTGATCCCATATGATCCCTTTTCATTCGCCCAGACTACTTCAAATGGACCTAACCAACGCGGCTCCAGCTTGCGTCCAAAGCCTGTGACGAAATCCAAATTGAACATGTAAACCCTTGATCCTACTTCGAACGATTGTGGGCGAACACGTCGATCATAGTAACGTTTCATCCTGTCATTGGCATTAAGCTTGCATGAGTATGCATACTCACGGATTCCCTCTCTTCTTACGATAAATCTCGCCATGCTTTCTTCTAGGACTACATCGTTCTCTTCCGGTGCCTCTGCTGAAACGAGGAACTTGTCGTCCGCGAACAGTCGCCGTAACGCTGACTGTCCTGTGTAGCCCATAAGTGCTTCCATTGGCGACACTCCTGTGCTCCTAACGACTCGACAATTCACGTCGAATACTGCTTTCGGTAGGAATGCATCCCAATCCTTAGATCCAGCTGGCAGTACTCTCCTCAGTCGCTCCTCGATAAGCTTATTTGTCGCCTCGACCTGTCCCTGACTTTGCGGATGCCTTGTCGAACCAGTGACGTGCTTGATCCCCCAGAGGTCACAGAAAGTCTTGAATTCGTTACGAAATGCGGGGCCTCCATCCGATCTAATCATAACAGGGAGCCCGAACCGACAGATAATCTTCATAAATAGAACAGCTAGGACGCCTTGCGCGCCTTTGTTGGCCACTGCATGTGCTTCAGTCCACTTGGTGAAGGAATCTGTGAAGACGACTATGGTGGTCATCCCCCTAGGCGTTTCGACTAAGTTCTCAATCAAGTCAACGAAGAGAACTTCAAATGGGAACTCGGAGACCGTAGGATGCAACCTGTTATGTTTCACTCGACTTCCAAATTGCTGGCAACGGCCGCAAGACTTGACCCAGTGGAATACATCCCGTCTCATCGTTGGCCACCAACACACGTCACGAACTGTTGCTAGGGTAGACTCTGCTCCATAGTGACCGCCCTTGTCGTGTGCCTCCTTCAGCACACCTTCGACTTCATCCTCAACTACGCACCTCTTCTCTCTGTTGTCGGCATCTCTATACAGTAGGTCACCTTCCTTCGTCAGTCGAAACCTGTATGCCTGTCTCTTGATCCTCCTCATTTCAACTTTGTCTTCTAACTCCAGTCTCATCTCGGCTAGGTACATGTAGAAGTTCGCGTACCATTGGCTCGCCAGCCACTTTTCTCCTGTGGATTCTGCCCTTCGGCTCAGACACTCTGGCACCTCGTCATCGATGTCATCCGTGGCTATTCCTTCCGACATAATGCGACTCATCCCGTCTGCATTGCCGTTCTTCGTACCTGGTTTGGTCTTAATGACCAGCTCGAATTCCGACAGAATCATCTGCCACCGCGCAGGTCGACCAGTCAGATCAGTCTTGGAAAACAACCATTTGAGTGGCGCATGGTCTGTGTAAACGACAACGGACCTACCCAGGATGTAAGGCCGAAACTTCTTGACGGCTATGACAACGGCGAGGCACTCTTGCTCAAAGGTAGAGTAGTTGCGTTCGGCTCCTTGAAAGGTCTTCGAGTAAAAGTAGACCGGTCTCAACTTACCCTCCTCATCTTCTTGTTCTAGCACTGCGCCCATAGCGTATTTGCAGGCGTCACACGAGACCACCCAATCCTTCTCGAAATCTGGAGCCTTAAGTACCGGAGCTTGAATTAACTTGGCTTTGAGACCCTTTACTGCGGCCACCTGTTCAGGACCCATGGTGAAGCTTGCACCTTTCTTGAGGAGCCTCGTCAGCGGCTCTGCAATCTGAGCGTAGCTTTCGACGAACCTTCGATAGTAGCCCGTCAAGCCCAAGAATGCACGTACATCTTCCTTGCTACGTAATGGGGTGAAATTCTTGACCTTGTCAACTTTGTCTGGCATGACCTCAATTCCATCTTTGCCGACCACGTGGCCAGTAAACTTCACCTTGTCATACCCGAAATGGAGCTTACTAGTCTTGTACTTGACTCCTCCTGCGCGAGCTGCCGCAAACGTATGATCGAGGGCTCTCAAATGCTCTCCCCAGGTCATCGTGCGCACGCACACATCGTCCATGTACGCCTCAAGCACTCTTCCGATAAGGTCTGAGTACACTTTTCTAACGAAGCGACTGAAGGTATGTGGCGCGTTCTTGAGCCCAAATGGCATTACCTTGTATGCAAACGTCCCAAAAGGCGTACGGAAGCCAAGATACTTGACATGCTCTTTTTTGATGCCAATCACGTAATAACCTTGAAATCCGTCCAGGCTACTGTAGTACTCGAATCCGCCTAAGTTGTCAAGTATTTCCTCGATGTTTGGCAGTGGCCAGCTCTCCCTTTCGGTAACCTTATTTAGGCCTATGTATGCGACGCACTTGCGCAAGGATCCGTCTTTCTTAGGAGCAAGACTCAGCGGCGCGCACCACTCGCTCTCCATCTCTATGATTTTTCCTGCCTTAAGCTCATCATCAACACTCTTCTTAAGGAAGTCAAGCTCCTTCGGCGAGTACCGTTTGCACCATCCTACGTACACTGGCTTGGCGCCTGGTTGAATGTTGATCTCATGTTCTAAAATAGACGTCACTTCGAGGTCCTCAAGGTTGGTAGTCAGCCTGTCCTTATTCTTTTCAAGTAACTCCACAATCTGTCCGTATTGCTCATTGGACAAATTTGGGTTGATGTCCACGTTGACTCCGTCAACCGCGAACGGCTGCCTTTTTACGCGAGCATCGTCATTCTCGCACTGTATCTTGCTAGAGAACACTCTTGCGGTCATCGCCTGCAGATCCGGGTCACCAACCTCTATTGTCTTCACTCTCAAGGCTCTGTACCCTGCATCAGCATCGGATTCTTCCGTCTCGTAGATTGATTCGTCATCCTCATAGTCGTCGTACTCATCATCATACTCATCGCTCTCATCAGACAAGTACGTTGATGTCGTAGGCTGAGGGGTTGAGGCGCGAACATTTAGACCGCCACCAAGGGTGATAGTCCTTCCCTCACTCTCCACGTAGTACACGATACCGTTGCTCCAATCAGCCTTGGCTTTCAGCGCCTTGAGCCAGTCATCGCCAAGGAGGAAGTCATATGTGCCTTACAGTCGATCACTCCCATCGACATTCTCAAGGGGATCCCGGACACATAAATATCGATAGGTCTTGTGCGGCCCGCAAGCTTCTGGAAGGACCCATGGGCTAATAGCACCGCACGAGTAGCAGGCTCTAACTTCAGTCCGAGTGCGTTTGCCACATGTAGGCCATCATAGTATGGTCATTGCCTGGATCAATAACGGCGTTGTTGAAGTCTCGTCCCAAGGCGGTGACGGTCGTGACATCACCCTTGCCACCTTGAACGTTCCTGGCCATAGCTATTGCTGACTGACTCCTCTTAGGCTTGCTTCTTCTTGGAGGGGCATGGCGGGCCCAGGCCTCGGTAACAGCTGCCTTGAGTTGCACTGCCATCTTTCCACGGTACTTGGAGTGAGTGGCCAAATCAAAATTCAATCCTTCGACCGCATCAACGAACACTGGATCAGGAATGACGCGCTTCCTGGTACGCTTTGGCGTCGCATTTGGAGCTTCTGCAACATTATTCTCTCGCCCGTCGACCGCTCTGTCATCAAAAGTCACTGTCTGGAAGTGGGGGTCCCCAGAAGGTTGCGCACTACTAGTGGATGCCTCAGCCTCCCACTGCATTCCTCGGACAGGTGGAGTAGTGCCTCTCGTTTCCTCTCTTCGTTGAGACGATGGACCTGCAGGAGTGCCTGTCCTCTCACTGCGACGTCGCTGGGCACCTGTCGAATTTAATCGCTGTGGCTTAGTCGTGATAAATGATTGGGCGACATTAGTGGCGGAGATTTCTAAACTTTGCACTCTTAGCGAGGAGTTAGTTTGAGTGGCCAATGGGACGCTATTGGCGCCTGTGGCGGGGCTTCCTTGTTCCTTAGTGCAAACCTTCGAAGTATGGCCTCGCTCGCCACATCGGAAGCATTCCACCAATGGGCAGAACGACAAGAGGTGCCCCTCTTGATTACATTTATGGCAGGTTCTACGGGCCATAGGGATAGCCTGCTGACTTCGAACTTCGGCGGGTTGGAGCACGGCATTAGGTCTAGCCTCCACTCTAATATGCTTGGCCAATTCAGAGGAACCAAACACTCGCCTCGCTACAGCCGGGCTCATTCTTGAGATAGTCTGAGCGATTCGCGCCTCCGGAGTTCGCTCCTCGGCAGCAAGGGTCCAGGCTCCGAACATGTCTGTTAATTCGTCTACGCTTAATTGATTAACTTTCTCTTTGTCGTCTTTGAAGTCCGCTAGGAAGCCAGAGTAGTGCGTCCTCGGCACTAGGGTCGATCCAAGCAGAACATTCGTCTCGATTGGTGCAGCATGCTCAGCGTTGCTGCGAGCTATGACACGGCTCTCAGTGGTGTCAATGCCCCAACGATTTCCTTCAACCAATTGTGTCACTGATTCGAAGGTTTCCTTCAAGGTCGCAGGCGCTTCTTTGTTCTTGACCTTGAAAGGATGGTCTTGCCTCAAACCCTTGCAAAATCTGTACGCCAGTAGACGCTCGGTGGCTGTTGGGATCTTGTACGGCTGTGCGTCGCAACCAGACTCTGGGTCGAGGAGTTCCATGGTAAGTTTCATTCGTTGTACATAGTTGGCTGTCGTCTCATCTTCTCCTTGCTTAATAGAATGCAACTCGTCCAGGGTGACATCCTGGCTTCTAGGGGTAGAGGCCTCCATGATGAAATCGCTGACGAACTGGCTCCAGGCACCATTCGTCTTGTTTGTCATCCTCCAGCGCCTGATCCAGCGTTGGATCTTGCCTGTCGCCTGCCTCTCGACGAACATCAACTTGTTGCTCAGGGTTTCTCCTTCGATAACACCTCCAAAATCGCTGATCCATGTCGCGGCGGTTAGACCCTCAGCCTCTGCCGACGGCCACTTCGGGATCATGGTAAGAAGAATCGATAAATTGGAAGACATTGTAGCTGCCACCCCCTGCGTAGATCACCAGAAATATTGTTGCAAAATTTAGGGGCAGATGTGGTAGGAGATTTAGGTCGTTTTGGTGGATTATGAAGCCGGTCACTTCCAGCTGATAGATAAATAATTCTAACACAATAAAAGAACACACACACACTACTCGAAGACTGGACGAGAACAGTCAGTACTCAAATGGCTCTTGTGTAAAAATAAGGAACCTTTAATGATCTATGGCTACTAACGACGAACGTTGTGAGGGCTCTTTACCTGGACGAGAACAGTCAGTACTCAAATGGCTCTTGTGTAAAAATAAGGAACAAGGAGCCAGATTTTCCTGAGCTGTTGCTCGTTAAATAGTTGGTGGCGAACCCTCTACACGTGACTAAAACTAAAACCAACAGCGTTAATGCAATACACATAAGCCACACAGGCTGGTGACGAGCCTATGCTTTGTTCCTTTCATAATTCCGCGCAAGCTTCGTTTGCGATTTACACAAATGGTATGCTTTTTATTTTCTTCCTGTCTCGAGTATTGCATCATTCATGCTAACACGACGCGTCTTCTATTTGATTCCAGCCCAAGGCAATCAAATCAGCTCTTTATTGCAATGATCCTTGCCCTTCTACAAGAATAAAAAACAACGACAGTAGCAACGGCAATAGCAGCAGTAAGAGCAGAAGCAAGAATAGCTCTGCTACTAATGTTCGGATTCCAAAAGTTCCTGATACAGCTCGTGATCGGGAACGTCGTTATCGCATGCAACTCGCCAATATGGGTATGTTCCCAAAATTGAACCCTGAAATCAAGCAATTTACACGTCCTTTGGATAAATCCATCGCCAAAAAATTGTATAAATTTGCAAGTCAATACTGTCCTGAGACTCGAGCTCAAAAAAAGAGTCGCTTGAAGCTGCTCGATAAATCTTTTACACAAAGCCCTCAAAGGGAAGGAACTTTTATAAACAATGAGGCATTGATCAGCAGACCTGATATAAGTCTAAAAACTTGTGGCAATGAAAGACAAGGACATGAAGAAGGAGAAGGCGAAGGTTTTGAGCATGGGAATGAGGTAGTTCAAGATCCTTCTTTTTCTTCGACTCTTTCCATCCCGTCATCCTCCGATAAACATAGCAGTGACAAAGACAAACCTTACTTCCTCAAGTTTGGCATCAATCATATTGAAGATCTTATCAAGACCAGTAAAGCCACTCTCATCATGTTAGCCTATGATACCGACCCTGTGGATCTTGTTCTTCATATACCTGCACTCTGTCGAAAACACCATATCCCCGTTGCAATCGTGGATGGAAAGCTTCGTCTTGGGACTCTCATTCACAAGAGGCAAACAGCAGCTGTTGCATTCACCAATATTCGTGACCAGGACATAGATTTATTTCAGGAGTTAGTCTCCAAAATCAAAGAAGATTATGAGAAGAATCGCACAACCCAAACATCCACTGCGAATCCTTTGAATTTGTTTACGACGGCCAGACTGAACCAACTTTATTCAAGCATTTTACCGATCTGATTTCTTTTCCAGAAAAAAAAAAAAAAAAAAAAAGAGCAAGAGATCATGTCTCGTGTCATTCTTCGACTCTTTTTTTCCGTTTCTTGTAAATATTCAACAGTAGTAAATTACGGTTGTTCGTGCCAATATAACACGGTATATAATAAAATTTGTAAAGTAATATTTTTTTATGTTTAAAGGTGTCCATTAGGAATACTAACGGGAATAATATTGACAATCGGCAGACCATCATAAGATAAGCGTGCATTCGCCATCTCTTCTTTGCTGACTTTGCGCTGTACAATTCCCGCCATTACGACCGTTGACACCAGCGCCGGTTGTCTCTGCTCTTGCTCCTGTGCTGCATCCATATCGATTACATTCGTGTCAGAACTCATCGATGGATCATTAAGACTCTCCTCTTGAATCCATTCCAATAATTGTTGGCCTTGAGAATGGCCAACCATCACAACATGGATATCAATTTCATCATCATGGATATTATCCCCTAGCAATAAGTCATCATTGATCTCTTGGTCATGACTCTTTTGTGGTTCAGATGATTCATTGCTTTCAGAAGTAGGAGCTGACGATGAAGAAGAGCTTGAAGACTTGTTTGCATTCGCACCTGTCATTACAAACGCGTTGTCGTCTGTGTTGATCACAATCATACTGTGTGCTCCAGCAGCCTGTGCATAGTAGGCCTTCAAAATAAAAAGACAACCACCTCGATCTACCGCCACTATCTTATTCTTAACCAAATTAGATTGAGCTGTCGTATAAGGTTGGCAACCATTAGTATTGTCTTCTATCCTGGCGAATCTCTTTGTTGGGAAGCGCCTCTTACTCGTCATTCTTGCTGATGTGGCGGAACCATGAAGAGGCACGGATAAAGGCTGCTGTTGCTGCTGTTGTCGTTGATATGTATCCTCTTGCTCACGGTCCCATCGAGGTTGAAAAGAGATCTCCTCTTCCACTTGGTAGTCTTTCAATGTTGTCTCATAAGTATTGTATGTCGCTGCTTGGTTATAATCCAGTAGTCTAGGCCGCCAAGTCCCAAATTGGGCAGGCATAATTGACAAGTCCTTTACAATCACCATTCCATCTACACTCGATGGCTGGACCTTGAACAGACGTAAGTGAGCAGCCTGTGCACGTTGATATGAGTCCCAAAGTGGCTTCATTGATGACTGCTCAACATACACGCTACAACTTGAGCTTAGAGGATAGTCTTCCACTATATGTAGGAGAGGGGATGGAAGGAGAGAGGTAGGTAAGTAGACAACAAAATTAGAAGGTAAAAACGATAAGGCTATGCTCAAAGTGTATGCGGTCTTGACTTCTAAAACTTTACCCGTTTATTCACTGACCTTTGACAGCTCGGTATCCGTTCTGCGCGCTATCATACTGGATGTGCATCTTCACACCCACAACTCTGTTGACAAACACACCCTTCTTGATTGGAATCACCATCGGGTCTTTGAGCTCATCTGATGATAATGCAGCCTTGATAGGTGGCTCCTTGGTATGGTCATCAGTATTCTCTTCATAATTATCATTAAGGTCGAAGATAGTTTTCTTAGGAGGACCTATAAACTCTACAATCACCCGCTCCACATCTAGGGTCGGAACTTCGCAATACCCTTTAGGATCCGTTTCTAATATATCTCGAATATCCTCACGCGCGCCTACCATCTGTCGAGCAAAATCTGCATCTGGTCGATAGACTATGCTCTTCAGGAATGTCTCCGGTGCACAATAAGCTTTACAGACAGGTGCTGCGGTTGCTACTGATGCGGCTGCCGTAGGCGTTGTCTTGACAAGCCTACTGTGAGCATGCTCTCCATAAATAGCCGCTACTACTGACTGCGCTGCCTTAGAGATAAAGTTTGGTTTTGATGTAGACATCTGACTTTCCACTACACGATCCTTCGAATTCGGGCTGAGATATTTTATATCCAAATATAAGATATGTCCCTCGGTTGTAAACACAAAATTGGAATCTTTAAGCTCATGATGAAGGATATTCTCTTCATCAAAGAGTAGGAAAAGATATTTGATTGTTTCTGACAGTGCAAAACTTTCCATTCGATCCTCGTGTTTCTTATCAACGACACTTCTAAGCGATGCCCAGCCACATTTAGTCTTGGTATATGCCTGTAGATCACGAAGAATCATCTCACCCACTTCGAGATAGAATGGATCCTTTGTTGCCTATTAATTGATAAACAAACAAACAAGAAAAAAAAAAAAAAAAAAAAAAAAAAAAAAAAGGTGAACAGTGTTTTTGTCAATGTTTCCAGGGCCTAGGGATAAGCAGATGAAAATAAAAAGAAAAACAATGATAGAAGTATGATAGCTTACTCGATAAAGAAAATAGGTTGATTCTATAAACTCAGGGCGTAGGGGATAATTGGCGATAGCGACCGTCTGCTGTACAAAATCGAAGCGTTCTGGAATAGCTTGGTATTTACGCCAAATATTATAATAATATAAGTGGTTTTTGATTGCACTTTCAAGATCGCCTCCTAGTACCTATAAAAGAAAAAATGTTTATATATTAGTTACCAACGATAGATGATCTATTAGTTTTTTTCCTTTTTTTTTTCACATTTTAACCAGGTTAGTTTTACCTGGACACCTGGCATAAAAGCCGATAAGCTATCAACCCAATGGGCCATCAGTGTCCCATCCTCCATATTGACATGCTTGTAGAAATACTTGGAGTCATGCAACAATGTCCGTCGGATTGCCTCCTGTGCGGATTCATACATCACAAAGTACTCCTCATCTCCAAAAAGGACATATGATTTGATCAAGTATTCATGGAAGGAATCTGTGCCAGCACCGATTCCTGTCATTGACGACATCCACTGCCCTGTACTGATGTTGATCGTGTTCCCCATCAATCCAATCTTTGATCTCCGTTTCCATAGTTCATGAAGTGCTTTCTTTGCTGCTTCCTATTACAGAGAAGGAAAGCAAGGTCATATAAAAAAAAAAATCAATACATGTCACAACTGATTTAAACGACAAATATATACAGTCCAATGCTCTTTTTACCTCATAACTCTTGTCACCTGTGAGTCGACTCAACACTCCAAATTCCAACAATAAACTTCCTGCTCCTGCCACACAATTCTCAATGGACTCCTCTCTCAACACTCCTCTCTTCAAATTCACTCTAGGCCATGGTAATCCCGTCGGTGTATTCTCAAACGCCTTAATCAACCTCTTTCCAAGATCCTCTGCCATTCTCAGTAACTCTCCTTGATACTGGTATTTTTTTCTTTTTACATTTTGATATTGGCTTTGACTCTGGTGCGCTGACAATTTCGGATCTGTTGCATACAAATGACCCGATAATAACGCTCCTAACACTCGGATATTCACTTCAAACACCTGAACTCGACTGTCTCTATCGAAATCTCGCACATATTTCTTGATCTTCTCAATGGCTTCCTGAAACAACTCGAATTCTCGCATCACTGCCAATGTATCCAATGAATCAATCAAGGTCAATGAGAAATCCCCCAATACATCATTGATGTTAATGTTATCTGGATTCGCTCGATCTGGTCCTCGTCCTGAACAGGCCACTGGATTCAACTCATCCATTGGGAACGCATAATCCAAATATCCTTGATATCCATGCATGAACATCTTCTTAGCCTCCTCGCGAAGTTGTAGTCGACGTGATTCTGTCATTCGCTCCGTCACAATTGTTCCAGCTGCTGTTTTGATATCGGAAATCGGAGGCCATTGTCGGAAATACTGTCGGTTATAATCTCTTCCTTTTCCTTCCGCACCATTTTGATGGCTATTTCCTCTATTCCCGTTTCCTTCTGTTCCACCGCGACCGCCTCTGGGATCCCCTACTTGATCGGATGATGCATTAACTACTCCATTGGATGGCAGCATCGATGAGAGAAGCATTTGCACCACAGAAATTATCAAGATCAGGAGCCACGGTCGAATGCCACCTCCAGTATTTGCATTATTTGTAGCAGCAGCACCAGCAGAAGCAGCAGCAGCAGCAGCAACATTCTCGCGATCAATGCTACGCTGAATGTGGCTCGGTCTCTCTTCCATTGCTTCCTTAATTTGTTTTACAGATCCATGCTTCTGTTGCTGTTGATCACTCTGTTTGTAGCCATCGTGGATTTCAAGTGATTCTAAAGTATTCTCTCTGATATTGGTACTAGCTAAATCTCTTGACTCATGTTTACTTGCCAAGACAGAACCTCCCAAAGTCGAGTTGAAGTCATAGTCCAAGTCCGGTTGTCCTTGCGCGACACCGGCTGGGGTTGAACCAGCAAGAGTGCTTGTACAAACTCCTCCTAATTGTGGCGATCCTATTGTCGGACTTACCCATGGTTTCTCTGTCCCATGCATTTCAGACATCCTGACAAAAAGCTAATGAATAGAAATAGCGTCAAGATGTCCAAACTCGGATGATGAATGCCACATCCCTACACCTTCTCATATCCATCACGTGTAGACATTGTCATATCTGCAACAAGATCCAGCCAATAATCAATCACCACAGCATTTGTCCAGGGATGCTTGTGAGACCATGATGTAAACAACGTCTGCAAACATGATGCTTTAATAAATATATAAAAAAAAAAGAAATGTAAAAAAAAAAAAAAAAAAAAAAAAAAACTATTTTAGGAATTAAAAAAAAAAGTGTATGGTTACAAATTGTTGGCAATGCTTTGTGCTTGTATATATATGAGGAAGTATGTAATTTTTTTTTTGTATGACAAATATAATGTGCTCTTTCATGCTCCATTTATATCGCCAAAAGGCCATATCCAGCTTACAATTAAACTACATCGCGGCCGTCACCCTTTGTTCATTCACAAAGTGACCATCCAATGAAATTCTCCGCTTCAATTTCCTCCTTTACAACCAAACTTGTTACTGATATGAGCTGAGACTCTGCCATTTCTTCCATTGGATCATGATGGTGTTGTTGACCCTCTTGAACAATTGGAGCCGTCGCGGTAGTAGCAACAGTAGTACTAGTGTTTATATTCGATTCTGCAGATACAACAGCGATCTCTGTATCTGGAAGAGCCACAGACAAATGTTCCAATGGAGAAATCACCCCTTTGAGTTCATCACTAACACTAAGTCCAGACATAGATATCTCCATACTCCGACGACCGATACCCATATTGTCCTCGGTCTTTGGAACATCACAGTGATCCACAAATAATGCCCACTGATCAACTTGCTGCTGCAGCTTTGGAGTTTCTCCTTCAATGCATGACATAGCTGGTGGTGCTTCATTAGACAATGGCGACAAAGGCGAAATTGACGCTTGTGAATTGAAAACTCTTTCCGCTTCTGGGGTAGCAATATTCAGAGATGCGAACTCCTGACCAATAGGTGACATTGGAAAAGCATTCGCCGACACACCCTGCGTGATGGCCTCTGAGGTCATGTCAATTGTTCGCTGACAGGCTGTTGCCGTAGTTCCTGCAATGTTAGTGGTACTAACGGTAGTAGATAGGGTAGAAGGACTGATATCATCATTTAAATTACTATTGGTCGCCACTACAGCATTAGCTGGCTGACTACTGACAATATTGTTGTTGCTGGTGTTATTGCTGTCGTTGCTGCCACAATTACCACCGTTACTATTAACATTGCTGCTGTTGTTGACGTTGCTATTACTACTGCCACTGCTACCATCTTCCTTGACATCCGAAAATTCAGGCCATGTTACATTGTTGAAGAGTGGTCCTTGATGATAATCCAGAATATACTCGCTATCACAGCTGTCAAATCCATAGTTGATTACGGATGGGTCCATCAATAGCTTGATCTTTTCTCCTTCTGCTCGAGCATGGGATTGTTCGTCTTCTTGCCTAATATCTCCCCCATGCTCCTGCATACTATCACAACACTCTTCCTCCGCCATCATTTCATCGCGCAGACTCCATCGTCCACGTGTCCGCTGAATCTTCCGAACTCGGATCCGCATCAGTCGATAGTTCTCTTCTTCATCTTTCAAAAAGTCGAAATCCGAGTCTGACCAGTCATCCTCCGAAGCCATTCTAGCTTCGCGTTTGCCATCACTGTCGTTGCGAGGATTAAAGTTAGTGAATGGGAGCTGGCGGTAAAGCTGATGTTGATGACTATGCCTCTTATTGCTGCAAAGAGCTCGATGATGACTATTACGTCTACTTCCATTGCTACTATTACTCTCTCGACGGTGTTTCTTGGAGTTCATTAGACCGGAAAAGTCCTGGCTGCCACGCTTTGAATGACTCAAAGCACTGAGCGGAATCATGGCAGGGCCCACTCCATTAGGTTTTGCAGGGAACATGTGAGAGTGAGAAGAGATCATGAGGTCGGGCATGGTAGCTGAATGATCGAGCTTGCCTTGGTGTTGAGGCTCCAGCTTTACTGAAGACTGTGGAGATGGGCTCCTTTCTGAGGTCATGCCCATAGTCCTCCTACTACTGTTACAAAAAAAAAGATTTCCTTCTGATTTGCTTCGCTTCGCCTCCTTTTTTTCGCGTGGGGGTATGGAGTCGACTGAACCACCGCTCAATGAAGAAGAGGATGTAGATGGCTGCAAGGTCCGATCCTGTCGCTTACCGCAAGGAGCTGCTTTAAAATCTTCAGAGGACACAAATTCTGCGAGGTTTTGAGGAGGCCGGCGGACACGTTGTGTAGTGACCACTCCTGGAATAGAAGATAAATCTACTTCAATAAAGGCTTTACGGGCGGTGCCAGTAGAAGTTGATACAGCAGAAGCCTTGGACGACTCTGTGTTGTTCATATCTGGTGTAGCGGAAGTACCCCTCTCTGTTCTAACGGAGCCGGATCGTTTCCTCATTGGTACAGTATTAGAAGTTGCTTCACGATCATGAGGATGTGGTGCAGGCGACGAAGGTGGAGTAGAAAGGGGTGCGTTTGGCAAAGACGATTGACGTGTGTGAAGAGTGGTTACGTATTCGTCCGCTTCTTTGGGACGAGGAGGTCGCCGGGCGCGCCCACTACGACGAGGGCCTCTTGTGTCGTCAGCGTCTTCAGAGGCAGCTGGCGAAGGTGCAGAATCCATGACAGGAGAGGGGCTAGACAGAGGATGTGTTACATGTGCTTCTGATGATTCCATGATTAAGTCTGGTCTAGAGTGAGGGAAGGCTGTACGATCACCACTTTTAGTAGCCGAAGGATAGACATCCGCTGAGCTTCTCTTCCTGTGTAGCGCTTGTTCATTCGACTCACGGATGTCAGGCCTTAAAGCCCAGAAACAGCCATGACCAGGTTCTTCTGGGGTTCGATCTACCTTTAGGAATGCCTTGTTCAACGAAAGACTGTTGCGAACTGAGTTCTATTTGGTGTGACGAAATCAAAACAATTGGTTAGCATCACACTACGAACAAACAGACTAAACAATCACAAAAAAAAACTTACCTGCCATCCATTTGGAGCGTGGCGATAATAGGGATGATTATTCATGATCGCAGAGTATATTTCAGAGAGGGTCAGCTTGATCTTTGTGGACTCAATAAGAACTTGAATAATTAAACCTGCATATGAGATGGCCGGGCGCACCTGATAATTGTTGCCATTTGTCCCAACTTCTGCCTCGAGAGTTGACAGAGTGGATGAAGTCCTATGGTCCAATGACTCTGTTTCGGTCGAAGGAACCGCATAATCGGCTGTCTCAGTGGCTGTCTCCGATACTATTGCATCAGGAGGAGGATAAAGGCTTGAAGTTTGCTCCAACAGCGAAGAGGGAGAGGAATTAGAAACAGGAGATGCCGATACGGAAACTGATGCGTCCAAGGTTACGGGCAAGACAGATAACGCCTGCGATGATGGCGAAGAGGGAGCAACAACCCCCTTGCTTTGCTGGTCATTCTCAGCGGTAGACAGAGGCTGACTGGTACTGGCAATGCTCATTGATCTTTTTCGTTTTGTTCGAAGCTCGTCACGGTCACTCTCACCACTCTGTCTTTCGTTGCTGGAACCGACACAAAGGGAAGAAGGAACAAGAGTAAGAGGGAATGAAGAGCTGGCAGTATTAGTCTGTAAGTCCACAGAGGGATCCTTTAACTCCTGTGATGCTGAGATGGAAGATATATCCGAGTCCAAGTATGGGGGTGAGGATATGATTGCGCCTAGTGCAATAGAGTTGGTGTTGGAAAGAATCGAGGGAGGGGGACACGCAGTGGTTGCACTTGCAGGTGGAGACAATGGGAGGAAAGGAGCAGAAGCAGCATTTGTGTCTACATCTGCATTCGCATTCACAACCGCCTTGGCGTTCAAGGAGAGAGATGTGCAATAAGCGTGGTCAAGGGAGGAGACGGCGTTGTCACCAGCCTTTGAAATAGAAACAGAGATAGCAGAAGGGGATGAAGAATGAGGTGAGAGGGAAGGGGATGGCGTGCCGCGGCCGTGTCTCCTAGCCTTCATGATCAATAAGCAATGAGAATCTCTTCTATCTTCGTCGTGGTTGTCGTCTCTTGAGTGTTCCCGTGAGCTCCTGCGAAAGTTATTGGCTCTGTGTCTTTGATTAAACAACCCTTCTTGGCGTGAGGTGACCAAGAGTTCGGCTTTTGTTCCCTTAGAGAAAGTGAGAGAGGGAGGAGCGGAAGAAATGAACTGATCCTCCTTGCAGTGAGCCAGGAGCAATTCGGGTGCAGTGGATAAGAAATGCTGTTGAACAGGAGGGATAATGGAATGTAATTGTTGTGTAAAAGAAGTGGAGACAGGAGAAAAGTTGTTACCAGAGGAGGAAGGACCGTGATCGCAGAGCGGCAGGTGTTGTTGTTGAAGCAGAATAGAAACGCCGACGTCCTTCTTGAGCCGGTGAGGGCTACCGGAACTCAGGATCTTCCTTGAACGAGTGGAGCGAGTGACAGAAGCAGAGGAGAGATCAAGATTGTTTGCGGAGAAAGAGCTATGGTAATGAATGGCGTCCATGTAAGTGTTGGAGCTGTTACTATTGACAATTGGCATAGGATGACAGATATTGTGGGAAGTGTGAAGTGTAGCAAAAATTGATCGCCTTTTTTTCATTTTTTTTGTACTTGTCTCACTCCTTGGACAGACGCTTTGACGAAAAAAAAAAAAAAAAAAAAAAAAAAAAAAAAAAGATTTGCTTCGTTGAACAATAAGTTGTAGAAGTATGAAAGTAAAGGATGGAGGAGGAATATACTCAGTGGAAAAGTCAACTTCAATGCACAAGTGGAAAGGAAAAAAAGAGTAGGAGAAAGAAAGAGTGAGAGGAGAACATGATCAACAAGGCGATGATAAACAGAGATGGAACAATGAAAACAAATCAAGTCAAGCGAGAAAAAGAGTACTGAGCGAGAAATGTTTATGTTTGAGGTCTTAATAATGCATAAGAGAGTAAGGCAAGTGAGAGATTGAAGAGAAGAGGTGGGGAGAGAAAAAGCTCACAATCAGAGGATGACAAAGAAGAGAAAAGAAATAGGGGGAGATAAATCAAGAGATGGAAGAAAATCCTTTTCACTCTCTCACAAACATATCTTTGGACACGAAACAAAAGGGGAAGGAATAAAGGAGTGAGAAGCATGCATATTGTGAAGATATTATATGATCACAATAAATGGTAAAGACGAGGCGAACGGTATTGATAATAATAATGGATAGTGATAATAATAATAGTCATTAGTCAACGGCAGTAATGAATGTACCTGAGTAGAAGCGAGCGAGTAAATGAATGAACAAATGAATGTGATGAATGAATGAATGAATTTAAAGATTAGGAGTGAAAGAGAGCGAGCAAGTGAAAGAGAGAAAGAGAGAGGGAAAGGAGCTGTATTACACACCCAAGTGTTAGATGGGAGTGTGAGTTTCCGGCGGGAAAAAAAAAAAAAATCCTTCAGTAGCGACTAAAGAGCGACGACTGCTCACCTTAGTTCAAGAAGAATGACGATGTTGTTACGATGACTTGTGCTGCATAGATTGGACCAAGTGGGGAAACAGGGTGCAGGGGGAATGGAAGAAGGAGAAAGGGAATCTGGGTCCCATCCTGTCTCTCTGTTTGCCACGCGTAGGAGAGGGAATCTCTGTGTTTGTGTCTGTGTTGAGATGGCGCAGCGCATAAAAAAATTCTTTTTTTAAACCATTGCGCGGACTTTTTCTCTTTCTTTTTATTGGATTTGATTGGGTTAGAAATCTCATCGCTCTCTCTTTGTTTTCGTTCAATTCGAAACTTTTTACTGTTGTTGATGAAAGCAGATGAAAAAAATAGTTAGTTGTTGTTGGTAAATGCAGCTAGAAAAATAGAAGTTGGAAGAACAGAAGAGGGTCGCGTTGTATTTCTGTTGTTTTTATTTGTACAGATGAACTAAATGGGGTTGTGCACGCCAAGCGCGTCCCAAACAATCGCTACTGCCGTTCTCGAATTCCGACGATCCACGGATATCGATTTTATTTTGCGGAACTGAGCCTGCTGATTGCCATAACCTTTGACCTTTTCTCGATTTGCCCTACACAGCTCTTATTCCTGCTCCTGATAAGCTCTATTGCCCATCACATACTGTGGACGACAACAATGACAGAGATAGCAGCTCAGATATTTCGACTATCAGGTACATCCTCGTTACTCGATGACAACTATGCTCGTTTATTAACTTTTCACTTTTCCCTTGTTCTATCTTTTTATTTTTTTTCCTTTTCACCGTTTTCTTCTTCTATAACTGCTAGTATGGACGGTATAAATGAAACAGATGAGCTCCATAAAGAAATCACCATCCTCACAACCTTACGTTTGTCATCCATCTTGACTTACAAAGACCATTGTTTCAATTTCTTTTATGTCTAATAAGCATCAGCATCATCATTTTTTCTTTGCGCCTTTTTCTTGATCTTTTTCGCTTTTCCTTTCATTCTCTAGTCTTTTTCTGCACGCCTTTTTCCTGACTTTCCTGGCTTTCCTGGCTTCCCTCGCCTTCTTAGTTTGGATCCCTTCTGTCTTCTTTTCCTTCTTTTTTTTTATATTAATTCTTGGCCCGTTATTATCCTAAATAGTCATATTCCTTTACTTCATCCTGTTCAATAGGTGTGATATATACGTTGGCCTCGGATTCTTGCCTATGTCTGTGTTCGTGGTATGTCTTTAAGACTAGAGGATATGAGTGGAAGAAACAGGAATACAGTTTGCTGTATCGAATACTGATAGGATAAAGGCTGTTGCAGCTGGTCTGATTATTATTATTACTGTTATTGACCAACGTTTGAAGAATCCATTTTGTGATTATGCCTTGCAAATCCATAAAGTATACAACATGCTCTTGAATAAAATCGCGTTGAGTCAACATTTTTTTACTGACAGCTATTGCTATTGCTCCTTGATATAAAAGTACATGGAGTGCTTTCTAGATTTGCTCATTAGGCCACTTTCTTTTTCTTTCCCTTTTCTTTCTCTTTTCTATTAGACTATAGTTTTGGCTCGCTTGCTATTGTTACGCTTATCGACCACTGTTCCTTCACGCTTCTTCACAGCAGTGGTAGCATCTCCTTCTGTAGCATGAGTGCTCGTCACAGCATGGGCCTCAGGATCATCCTTATTACAAACACCATGGACACTGATGCCATCGATCCAAGGTTTTAGTAGATCCATCTTTAGTTTCTGTCGCATCCCTCCTTCTCCTCCTCCTTTCAAATCATCATCGATCGAGATTTGGACCATCACCTTCTGGAACAACTGAATCTGATGCTTCGGCATCTGACCTTCTGTCAAAGCCTCTGTCGATTGTAATGAATCCGTTTCAGGATTATAAACCAAGATTGGCTTGGGAGGAGATGATGTAGAATGCTCCGACCCTGATGATCCATCCGTAGTAGGAGTTGTCTTGGCCTTGGCGGTCGCGTAAACAATACCCTCAATACCATACTTAGGTACAAGAACAATGAATGCGTTTTTGAGAATACGAATTACGTAGCCTTCTTCTTCCTCAACCTTGTTCTTGAAGAACAAATGAGTGAAGAGTTCTACAGAGCTACGGCCCGCTTGCTGAGCCATACGATGACGATGGTTCAAAACTATATAGTCGTTACAAAAGACCATAAGTTTTTTTTTTTTTTTTTTTTTTTTTTTTTTAAGAAAGCTTAAATGTTTTTGATTTACAAAAGATTAATTTACCTGAGCAAAGTTCGTTCATATCCTCCTTATCAGTCAATTCGTGGCCATATGTGACGTTAGGGTCAATCGCAGCATGCAGTTGACGATGGACCATAACATCTTTTTTTTTTTTTTTTTTTTTTTTTTTTCAAAGTAAAAATAAGACAGAAAAACGCATAAATTGCGTGAGAACTTTAACAGTAACAAAAATCAAGTAAAATGTGGGACGAGGAAAAAAAAAAGTCTTACCGGAATAACGGCGGATAGGTGATGTGAAATGCGTGTAAATTTCAGTTGCAAGACCATAATGCCTAAAGTCAGGTACTGCTTTTGTGCCAGAGCAGAAATACAGCGCTTGCATCATACAACGTGTCGTCATGATCCTCAACAGTTTGTTGAAATATGGCTCCTCGGGTATCACAGCCTTATCCAACGAATCCGAAAGTGCTTTTGAAGTCGAATGGTCAATTGTAATACCCATCCGAGCCACTGCTTTCTCTAGTTTCTCGAAACTGGTCGCTGGTGGCGTAGGGTGACAGCGCAGCATGGCTGAATCCGGAAACTTTTCATAAATCTTTTGTGCCACTGAAATGTTGGCCAGTAACATGAATTCCTCTACCAAAGCATTTGTTTCCTTCAACTCCTTCATCTCTACGTCCACGGGATCTTGCGTATCGCGCTCCAGATTGAACCGGACCTCAGGGCTCGCCAACGTTAATGCTCCCATATCAAGACGCTTCTGTTTCAATTTTTTGGCTAGTTGGTTCAGAATTCGAATTCCTTTGGTCACATCGTCCTGCATACGCTCATCATCAATTCGATTCTGAGCCTCCTCATATGTAAGAGAAGCTTTAGAGGCGATCACACTCTTTGTAAACCGAACATTGACAATATCGGCCTCCGAGTTGAGTTCCCAGATACAGGAAAATGCCAGACGTTCGACATTGGACCGTAACGAGCACAAATTGGTTCCCAACAAACTGGGTAACATATCAATGCGCTTGTCCACCAAATAAACAGTTGTTCCACGACTGGCGGCTTCTTGATCCATTACGTTACCTGGCTTGACAAAATGAGTGACATCTGCAATATGTACTCCCACTTGATAGTTGCCATTAGTTAAAGGTAATACATGAAGAGCATCGTCGATATCAGTACAGCCAGGCGGGTCAATACTACAGATATTCAACATCCTAAAGTCCTCACGCCCTTGGAAGTCCTCAGGCTTGACTACCCAATTCTCTCCCTCCGGTGGTAATAGACTCAATATCTGTTTCGAAAATTCATGGAAAGGCACATCATGCTCCAAAAGCAAGACCTCAGTCTCTGTGGATCTGTCTCCTGCTTCACCCAGTGAGCGGACAAAATGTCCTATCGGATACCGAGATGTTTTTGGCCATGAATCAATTGAGACAATGATTCGTTGACCCAAAAGAGTGTGTGCCTGACGAGTCCTGAATCGGATTTTGGGGATCTTAGATTCCATCGCAAAGAACAAGACATTGATGGGAGCGCTTGATCCTGCTGGAGTATTTACTGTTTTGCGGTCAATAAACCCACAATATTGTCTCCAATTACGACGAATGATGCCAACAACCTTTCCGCACGGTTGAGGTGTATCTAAAGCTGATTCCTCGGGTGTTACTACTGCTGGTTTAGTAGCGTCCTCCATTGGTGTGTCTTGGTCTTGGTGTATATCTGATTCTGACCCATGGCCACTCTTCAAGTCCTTCTCTTCCTCCTTTTCCTCTTCCTCAGTGATGACAACTCCTGTTGGAGTCGTACGCCACTCTGATTTCGGTAACAACTCTACAGCAACAATGTCTCCATCCACCGCACGATTTAGATTCTCTCGTCCCACGATCAGGATTGTGTTTTCAACTCCATCAATCTTAGTGAAGATAGATCCCTACAATAGATATATCACAGAATAAAAAGGAGATTACTACAAACTTTCCACAAAGACTTCCGTTAATTTTTTTTTTTTTTTTTGTAATACCTCTAAATAATTGTGGCTGCTGATTCCTAGCTTTCCTTGATAGTACTTCCCGTTTTTGATCCCGTTCGATAAATGCACAGGTGAAAGATGCTCCATATATAATATCTGTTGCCCATCATCTAGTTCCTTTGCATCCGAGATCATGTCTAGTAATTCTGTATTATCTAATGCTTCCACATATCGCTTCACTATAGAAAGTCAAATAAATGAATAAATTAAGACAGCGTTTTTTTTTTTTTTTTTTTTTTTTTGCTTTTTGTTTTTTGTTTTTTTGTTTTTGAAACCAAGCACAAAACAATGGTTAAGCGAGTGTGTATATATTTTAATACCTGAAAACGCTTCAAGTCCATCTGCATTTGCTTTAGCTCGGTTAGCCGCGTCGTCGGTCAACATCACAACAGACACTTCAGGCTTCAGACCTTGCTCTCGAAGATGATTTCCATACCATTTGGTCGCCACACGAATCGCTCGGTCATTTCGATCATTAGGAGTTTCGTCTTTCACTTTCTCAATAAAAGTTTCTCGGTGATGTTCATTTGAAAACACATAAAATCTTTTTTCTTTGTTGCTAATAATATCTCGCATACGCTTATGGATCGGTAAGGACAGATGTTTGACCTCTTCTAAAACCGTCTGCAATACAATCACATTTGTGATCTGAGGTTTTTCCATGACATCGATCTTTGAAGAAGAAAGAAAGAAAGATCATTTAGCCCTTCATTTCATTCTTAGTAGTCATATGTGCTATTAACTGCTCACACACAAGTTATTATTATTATTATTACCTGGTTCATAAAGATGTTGGTATCGGGTATGAGATAGTGAGGCGAGGGTACAAGCTTGTTGATATTAGGGGTTGCACTGAGGATAGGTTCTGTGTGTTCACACTCCCTGCATGCCTCAGCGGAGCACCATATATCATCACGTAAGTAGTGCTCCTTGATCACCTTGAGCACCTTGCCAGATTTTGTCTTTTTTACAAACTGCTTTTGCCTGAGCATAGTGTCCTGTTATGGTGTTGTATGTGAAATGTAATGATATCAAGCAAAAGCACTGCACTAAGAGGGATGTTGTACTGTGTGTTATGTATGTTTGCTGACAAATAACCTTCTCTCTAGCAACCTGGTAAAAAAAAAAAAAAAAAAAAAAAAAAAAAGAAAAAAGAGGAGAGAAGAGTTGAATGGAAATGGGCTTGCCATGTCTTTCTTTTTTTTTTTTTTTTTTTTTTTTTTTAAATAGATGTGGCTGAGTGTTTGTTTTATGTTAGTTGAATGGATTGTTTCATCAATTCATACTCCTGCAATCTTATCAGATGAATATGAGAATTAAATATGACACGTCCTCCTTTCTATCTGAAGTGACCTTGATCAATTAGACATCATATTGTTCCTGATTGACCGTTGTAGATTCTTTTGGGTTGTACCGTTGTAGCGCGTGTGGAGAGAGATAAGCATTTGACAGACAGAAAGCACCCTTGCTCACGCTCCTGTGTTCACTTCATCCCTTCTAACTCTCGTTCTCTCCACTTTACTCCTTTCTTTCCCATCGTCGTCCTTTTTGTCTTTTTCTTCTCTTTTATTCATTCATTCATTCCTCATTTGTTCTCTAACCAAAAAAAAAAAAAAAAAAAAAAAAAAAAAATGCCATCGCGAATCGAACACCAACTTCAGACACTTCTTGAGTCACGCAAGAAGAGATCACTTCTTCGCAAACTAGTTGTCATCCCTGAATCTTCGACTGATTTTTCCTCCAATGATTTCCTTGGCCTAGCTCGCAATCCTGCTCTCGGTTCCCGATTCCTGAAAGAACTTGAATCCTTTCCCTCACACAAACCACCTCTGGGTTCCACAGGTTCTCGCCTTCTCGATGGCAACTCCAAATATGCTGAAGATCTAGAACAGATGATCGCTCGTTTTCATCATGCGGAAGCTGCCTTGATTTTCAACTCTGGTTTTGATGCTAATGTAGGCTTCTTCAGCAGTGTACCTCAACCGGGCGATGTGATCCTCTATGATGAATACATTCATGCTTCGGTTCATGATGGTATGAAGGTCACCCGTGCTACTCTCAAACAGCCTTTTCTGCACAACAACCTGGGCCACCTTGCAGAATTACTTCATTCAGTGCGACAAGAGGATGACAAAGGTCAACAAGGACTTGCTCAATCATCATCATCAAAGCCATTGCCATTAAAGAAGCAAAAGAGGAATATCTTTGTGGCTGTGGAGAGCGTCTACTCAATGGACGGAGACACTGCGCCATTGAAGGAGATCGTTGATCTACTTGAATTATATGATGCATATCTCATCGTTGACGAGGTAACGACTACTTAGTCCATTAATCTTTTATTTTTTCTCACCATCACTTTTTTTTATGGGGTTCATGGAGAAATGAAAAGAAATGATAGTCACTCTACGCCTTCTCCAGATTTTTCAAACTCCAACTCAATCAAATCAATTTTTTTTTAAAAAAAAATAAAAAAATAAAAAAATAAAAAAATCTAGGCCCACGCAACTGGTGTGTATGGACAGAACGGACGAGGACTCGTGAATGAGATGGGCTTGGAAAACAAGATCTTTGCTAGACTTCATACCTTCAGCAAGGCCCTTGCAAGCAATGGGGGTAAGGAAAAATTATTATCAATTACCACTCCGTCAATCAGCGTTCACCCCGAGTAACGTTTGATGAATGATGGAAGCAAAGCTTTTTTATATAACAGCTTGATTCACAGATAACCCTATTTCATCTCTCTTTTATATTTCTTAATACAACCCTAGCCGCTTTGGTGGGACCGAAGATTCTAAAGGAGTATCTGATCAACTATGCGCGTCCTCTAATCTACTCCACCTTCACATCCTTCAGTAACTTAGCCAGTATCAAATCCGCTTACGAAATGCTCATCTATGGAGAGACAGTCGAGGTATTTTTTTTACTCGTTCTTTATTATCTTTATTACCAAAGTTTGTATATTATGTTGTCTATTCTCAACACTAATTCGTCTTTTTCTTCTTTTCGTTTCTTTCTTTCCAAAACAAAAAGTTGGTTGAAAAAGTTCGTGGGTTAATTACCTATTTCCGATCCAACATTCAACTTCCAGACCATATGCTCTTGCCCTCAACCTCTCCAATCCAGGGTATCGTCATCCACGGTAATGCTAAAGTTAATGCACTCTCTCAACAGCTCATTCAGGCTGGTCTTAATGTCAAGCCTATTCGTTTTCCTACAGTGCCTCGGGGAAAAGAGCGTGTTCGTATCTGTCTCCATAGTCATAACACTCTCCAACAGGTCGACCAATTGATTCAGATTGTCCAAGCATGGATGTCGCAACAACAGGACATCTCTACTACAACTGTCAATACTCCCACTCTTTTTGAAACCGATTCATCAACATCACCATCAATGCTATCTACAACATCAACAGCGACAAAACCAACTTGCAGTCCAACTTCAATTTCTGTATCGAAAGTGGAACTAGAAGCAGACTTGGCACCATCATCATCATCACAGTCATCTCCGCCTTCATCTACCTCATCTACACTCTCATTATCTACACTTTCTGCCACTACTAAATCCCTATCCCACATTCCATCCAAACTGTAATAACCAAATAAAAATAATAGAATATCAATTCGCCTTCTCTATTATCGTTTTGACCTTTTTTACAAACAAAATCTACACGCATATACATTAACAAATAACTTCAGAAACTTTATTAGAATACTTTTTTTCTTTTTTTTTTTTGGTACATTCAGTACAAGACATGGGAAGGGTGTTTGGTGATTATAATTGTGATGAAAAGAGGCAGATAATAAAAAGAAAAAGAATATCTCATGAGTGTAAAGATAGTAAAATAGAGAGAACAAGCTAATTGCTAAATTAAAATAATTAAAAAGAACAGAGAAAGAGAAAAATAAAAATAAAAGATGCATTATGATCCCTTTGTCTGTCTTTCTTGTCCGCCCGCATTTTATACTTGTACCATTTCACTCGCTTTGACTTTTCTTTTTTTTTTTTTTTTTTTTTTTTTTTTTTTTTTAAACCGCCCGTGGAGCAAACTCAGATCGAACAACTCGGCCCATACGATGCACACGAAGATGGCGACGCATATTACTCTGTACCGAGAATTGTCGTCCACATCCCTCCTCCGAGCATTTGAATGGTCGCTCGCCTGTGTGCGAGTATGTGTGGATCCGAAGTGAGCTTGGTCGGCTGAACCGTTTTTGACAGTATTGACACTGGTATCGGCTCGAAGCCGTTGTCACCTCCATACCTGCCATGATCGCTCGTGACCGCGAAAGATACGGGCCACGCCTTTTAGTGGTGGTACTACTTGGTATTGATGATGACACTTGCATATTGGGGAGAAGTGGGCGATCGGCCGCTATTCCTGGTCCTGAGGCTTGGTAAGGGGCATCAGGTATGGGATGCTGCTGCTGATGCGGCTGATACTGAGAGTAGTACTGACCATGCCCAGGATGCTGGGAGCGTATATTGGCAAGATGGTGAAGAGGTGGCGGGTAGGGCTGAGCATGAGCAGAGACATGCTGATGAGAAAGAAACGCCGAATAGTCTTCATGAGGATGTTGCTTCGTAGATAACGGTGGTGACCCATCGTAGGAATGTGCCTGGGGATGGCTGTAATGGTGGGGGTGAGAATGATGGTGACCAGGAGAAGGTTGTGACGAATGGCTACGACGATCAGACTCAGGAGTGGCTCCAGAATCGTAATCGCATGGACACACATCTGTCTGCGCCCGGCGATGTATGATTTGCCTTTCCTTAAGCTTTTCATCATACTCCTGCTCCTCCGATCCTTCCTCGTCATCTTCTGTTAGATCTTCAAGATTGTCTTCGTGATGGCGCCCTTCTTCATGGTATAGCGTCATGTGACGCTCCTGTCTTAGGCCCGAACTAACCAGCTGTAGATCAGGCTCCGAAATAGACGAGCGAATGCTTCGACGAGAACCTCTCCATTGAGACGAAGAAACCGACTGTTGCGCAGATGAGCGTCCTTTGCCGTCGTCCTCGATCATTTCTGCACCTTCTCTAGGACTACATCCAGAGTTTGGATCATTCCAATCTCTATGATGGCCACTGTTTGCTTCAGCACTATATCCAGCTGCGTCCACCTGCTGATGTCCCTGTGAACTAGGTCGAACGTGGCCACGGATGTGATTAGCGTAGTCATGGCCGGTTCCCTTCGAAGGTCTATCTTGAGGTGACGGTGGATAGCCTAAAGGCTGATTGCGAGAAGGAGGTTGAGATAACAACGGCGTCTTAGATGGTGAGTGATTTGTATCTTTCGTGAGACTATAATGGTCATCCGTATCACTCGAAGGTGAGGCAAACGATCGATCAGGATGAACAGGGTTATAGTATGGGTGGGAAGTATTCCGCTCAGCTCGTGCTGCTAGTCCATGAGGTTGGGGCCCCGGTTGCCTTGAAGGCATTGGTCCCTCTTCAGAGGGACCAGAAGGCGAAGAATTGGTCAAAGCAAAATGCTGTCGGCCAAGTGGATGCGACTGCTCTGGGTCAGGCTGTCGGTTTTGGTTGGATGAATACACCGAAGCTTGCATAGCTGTCGGGTGCTCAAAAGTTTTATGGTCCGATTCGCGGACAGGGTCATACAATGGCGGCGGATGCTGCTGTTGCTGAAGTGTGGGGTGGGGGAGATGACGGGGGGAACGGGGTGCAACACTAGGCTGCTGGCGGGAAGAAGACAGATTTAGGGAAGAGGGCATGGTGTTCACGCCGAGGGGACTTGGTGGAGACATTGATTCATGTCTTTGACCCTGTCCGTGATGGAATGGCACTGGTCTAGGGTCACTATACCGTGAGGGTTCGCAGTATGTCTCCTTCGACCAGTCGTGTGCCATGCTTCGTTGTCCTTCTGATACCTCCTGAGGAGCATCTGCCGTCGTCTGAGGAGGCGTTGGTGGCAAAGGAGAGTATGCATGGCCAGAAGGGTGTTGTTGATTGTGTGATGCATTAAATTTTGATGGCAAAATCGGGGAAGATGAAACACATACTCGATTTTCGGTTTGGTTCGAAAAAGTATTCGACGAAGGCGACTGTGCTCGGTATCCTTGTTCAACGTCGGGGAACTTCACTGGCCGTTGGGATACGTTGATCGAGTTTTGATAATGATGGGGGTTGAGATCATGAGCTTGGTTGTGATCATAATGATGGTGATGATGAGGCTCCGGCCCATATGAACGCGATCCATTCATGCTCCTTCTTGCTGGAGGCTCTTCAAAATGCCGGAGTGGTGAAGGATGCAGATGATGTTTGTAGTTCAGGGAGGTCTCTGGGTTACTTTGCCTACTGTAAGATGGGGAAACTCGCAAAGGGTTGTTTGGTGCTGGCTGGATGAGACCTCCGTGTGGTGGGTGTGCTGGATCACTATGCGCTCGACCCATCCGCTCAACGTAGTCTACAATGAGAGAATGGCGGTCTGCACCCAAGTCTCCGTGATCTTCACGCATACCTCGTGAACCATAATTTGATCCTCCTCTCCATTTAGGATCACAAATACTTGTAGCAGCAGCTCTATTTGTGACGACAAGCATAGCATCTGTCGTTAGGGGTGTGGATACAGCTGTTGCGGTCGAAATGGAAGGAGATGGCGATGCTGACGATGATGAAGACGAGATAGAAGGATCAAATGGAGACATCCTTGACTGAGATCGATAAGGGTGTACATACTGTTGTGAAGCAGGCTGGGTTGAGGTATGCATGTTAGAGTGAGATGACCATGCTGGGGTCGCCGTGGATCCGGAGCTCCGCGGATCATTCTCGCTGTAGTAGGACGATCCTGGAGATCCACGTGGCGAGGGCGAGTGACTAGATAACTTTGCTGTGTCCATATCAGATGGTGCAGACTCAGAGCTGACATGAGATGGAGGCGGAAGGTAGTGACCATCATCCCTTGCGATCCTATTAGTGTAACTAGAGTGTGTGAAAGAATGTTTTTCTCGAGAAACCAGAGGTTTAGACCCAGAGGCAGTGATAGATGAGAGTGGGATCGCATCCCCATTGCAATCGTCTTCCTGTGGGTGTGGTGGATGGAGAGGCTCGTACGGCGGGTGAGGATGATGCTGTGTTTTATGATATTGTGGAGTGTTGCGTTGTGGATGTGGATCTTCTATAGCACTCATGTTGTTATGCCTTTGTCCCTCAATCTTTTGATGATAATGATGATAGCGATGGCCATGATGACTTTCAGTGAGGGTTAGCGGCATGAGTAGAGATGGAGAAGGCGGCACTGAATGGATGTCGTTTATATGACCTATGACAGGATTGGAGTCAAGTAGATGATGGATAGATGGCAGCATGGTGTGCCAAAGTGTCACACAATTTATACTTTGGTCCTTGACTCAAAATGTAGGCCAATGGTAAGACGACAGATGGAAAATACTTTGGGATGCTCCAACAAAATCAAGAGTCCTCTCTATGACTCTGTGGATATACGATGGATTTACGTCGCTGCCCTTAGAATATATCACAGTTGGTAAGTAAACTAAGTTTGAAAATGGTCGATGGGATTTATATCTAAAAGGTGGTGAAGACAGAGGACGAAAGACGGACCCCATGTAAGTTGATTAGTAACGTTGAAAAAGAGTTATAAAAGGGTTTGATCTATATGCTTCATGAAGGTTGAAGAAGCCATAATATATCTTATTGCTGATATATTTGTATTGATTTCTGATGATGGGAGTTTACTGACGGAAAAAAACTTTTGACGATGAGAGACAATAGTAAACCTTAGGTGAGCCTTAGAACAAAGCCCATATTACATGTTATTAATAACAGGGATACGATCGATCTGATCGAGAAGATTGAAGAAGTGAAGTTTAACAATATGTAGAAAGATGCTGTGGAAGATACATCTTATGGGCAAACAATAACCCAAATAAGCATATTTCAATTGTGCGATTGTTGTCAGCTCTGATGAGCTATCTAAATATCGTTTTCGCCTTTTTTCCCCTGTCTGTCTAATATACCAAGAAATAAAAATAAAATGATGCAGGTGATATGCACGCCAACAGAGTAAGGAAATAATACAGGATGCAATATTTGAGAGGATGGTTCATCAGATAAATAAGCACTAGGAAACAAGAGGATGAATGTAGATTATTCGTACAAGGATGAGACAAAAAAACCCCCCAAAGAGCTGTTCCTGAGATTGGATATGAATAGACTGCTGGATGTTTTGTTTTTCTGTCCATTGGTTGCTATTATGATTCCTACAATAAAGGAATGCCTATCCACTTTACTATCTACTTTGGATAGATACCCTGAATGATATATTTTCATCCGAGATGAAAATATTAAAAAGAATGAGATTGATAGGGTTCGTTATTATGACTACAAGATCCTTGTTGGTCTCTTACATTGAAAGCACTCTTAAAATTAAAATGAAATAAAGATGGAAAAGGAGAAGGAAACGTAGAACAAGGAGATGAGAATGTGCGTGCGCGCCTATGCATATGATGAATGGATGTGAATGCATGGTCGACCATGTGTGAGAATATCTGCCCAAAGGTGCAAGGGACTGGGCATGGCTAAATTGGCTGACGAAATCCAGCTGTATTAAAAAGAGAGGACCATGTTTTAGGAGGGTAAGATGCAGCTGTGGAGGGGAACAGGAAGAAAAAAAAAATGGAGGGAGAGTCGGTGGAGAAATTAAAAGAGAAATGGATGACCAAAGAAAAATTCACTCTTTTATTCTGTGTTTGTGAAAAAAAAAAAAAAAAAAAAAAGATGTGCTCTAGACCCAAGCTCAAACGACCAAGGGTTCTTAGGAAAAAGAGAGCATTGTGAACAACCGGGGACCAATTGTGAACGGGACACAAATATGCTGGAAGCAGGAAGAGAAGGGGAGAGGGGCGTGCACGGTTGAATGATGGTCTAGAGAGTTGATGTTGATAAGGATGCTGTTGCTGATGCTACTTGGGCTACTCTGCGATGCGAAAATACAATGTCAGAAGAAATGAAAGGATAGAATGCGGCGAGTAAGTGAAGCGGATAGAGTAGCAAGAGGGAAAAGAGCAGCAAGAATGACCAATGAGTGTTGAAAGAAAGAAATTGGGATCGAACGAATGAATGGTGCGCTAAATGTATCAAATAAAGTAATCACGCTGAATATTGAATGAATAAGCCTCTATGGCAAGTAACAAAGGCTTCAGTAGGATCTCATCTTTTACAAAGGAAAGAGAAACGCTGCAGAATAGTGATGGCTGTG